ATTGCTGTCACATTGGGTTTAGTGGTGACTTTTAAATATGATACAAAAGGCATCATCCATGAAAGAAAGAATGGATAAGCTTGACTTCATTGAAAATAAAAACTTATGCTCTGCAAAATACAATGTCAACAGAATGAGAGCATATACCACAGTCAGGGAGAAAATACTTAAATAGATACATCTGGTAAAGAACTCTTACCCAAAGTTTACAAAGAACTCTTAACATTCAACAATTTTTTAAAAATACAATTAAAATATAGGCCAAAAATCTTAACAGATACAGATACCTCACCCAAAGAGATATACAGATAGTAAACAAGTATATGAAAAGACACTCTACATATGTCATCAGGGACAATGCAAATCAAAACAACAATGAGACACCACTGCATACCTATTACAGTGGACAAAGTCTAGAACACTGACAGCACCAAATGTTGAGAAGGATGGAGGCAGCAAGAACTCATTCATTGCTGATTGGAATGCAAAATGGTACTTTTGTTTTGGAAGACAATTTGGCAATTCCTTGCAAAACAAAATATTCTTACCATATGATACAGCAATTGTGCTCTTTGGTACTTACCAAAAAGAGTTGAAAACACATGTCCACACAAAAACCTACATATGATGTTTATGCTAGGTTAAACATAATAGTCAAAGATTGGAAACAACTGAGTTGCCCCTTGGGAAGTGAATGAGTGAATAAATAATCTGTGGTACATCCAGACAAAAGAGAGCGCTATCAAGCCATGAAAAAAAACAAAATGTGACCATAAATGCATATTATTGAATTAAAAAGAAGACAATCTGAGAAGGCTACATACTGCATGACACTCTGGAAAAACAAAACCATGGAGTAAACAGAGATCAGTGTTTACTAGGGTTGGGGAAAAGGAGTGGTAAATAGGTGGGAACTGTGGAAATACTCTGCATGATACCAAAATGATGGATACATGTCATTATATATTTGTCCAAATAGAATGTATATTACCAGGAATTATCCCTAAGGTAAGCTATGGATTTTGGTTGATGATGAACAAAGGTACCACTCTGGTGGGGGTATTGATATTGGGGAAGGTTATGCATGTGTGAGAGTACATGGTGTATGGGAAATGTCTGTACTTTCCTATAAATTTTGCTGTGAACCCAAAATGTTCTATAAAATTAAGCTTAAAGGGCCTCCCTGGTGGCGCAAGGGGTTAAGCACCACACTATGAAGTAATCCGCAGCCTCTGCAGCATGAGTTTGATCCCTGGCCAGACAGAGAGCAACCCACAAGGCGCAGCAGACCTCTCCTGTTTCACCTGCTGCTCCCCTTAGCAGTGTATTTCAGTCAGTCTGCCTGTTCTGTTCCCCACTCTGTCTCTGGTGAATCCTCTCCCCCGGCCCCCAACCCGCATCTCAGGCCTCTACCCCAGATCTTGTATGCATAAATCAGTAAATCTTTTTAAAAAACAAACAAACAAAAAAGAAATTAAGCCTTAAAAGACATATCCAAGAACTTATTTAACTTAGATTGGTCTGGAATGCAACTCTCCATGATTATCCTAGCAATGCAGTGTTTGAAGCTTCCAAAAGAAAATAATTTAATGGTGCTTTCTTTCTTTAGTATGAAAAAGCAAAGAAAACTTACTTGCAAGTCTGTAAAAGATCACCTTCATGTCTTACCTGGCTAGGACTGGGAATCGCCTCTTATCGGGTAAGAGGATGAAGGCTTGAGACCAGGCCTTTGCAGACAACTAATCTTGATTAGTTGGTCTTCCAAGCAACCTGGGGGTTTGTGATGACAGTAAGATAGCAATCAGGGCAGTCATTTCTAATAAAATGTTACTTTTCAAGATTATTCAGTATACCAAAGGTGAATTTGAACTGGAAAAATAAAACATTCTTGAAGAATTCCACAAATATCTGAACCAAGAAGCTATCTAATGATAGATATTATGTTCTTGAGTAAGGAAGCTCATAATTTTATGTTATCTGTAAGAAAAGAAGTGATACTAGATATGAAGAATCCACACAAAGAAATTCATTAATACTTATTAAGCTCAATGACCCTACTATGTTCAGACGAAGCTGTTACAACTTCTGGTAGACCTTTTGCTTCATCAACCCTAAAGACTCTTTTGTCACCCTTTCCTCCTTTCTTCTGATCTTTGAAAGGCGGATATATCCTACTGTTCTTATCCAATTTCTTCACATGTGTTCTTGGTTCTATCCCTTTCCTTTTCTCCTAATACCTTCCTACCCTTAATTTTTTCTTTATCCTTGATTTACTTTTTTAGCATTCTCAATCTGTTCTTTCCCTGTACTTTTATCCTTCTTATTAAAAACAATGATAACCACACTAATCTTCCTCATTGTTATCTTTAACCAAAAGAATTATTTACATTCCTTTGTCTCCTCTTCCTTATTTCTGTGTTTCAATTTAAAGGTAATACATGTTCATTATAGAAAGTTTGAAAGATACAAAATATGGAGAAAACGTAAGTGTCCATAATCCAAGCACTCAGTGATAACTACTGTAAACCTTTGACTACATTTCCTTCCCATCTTTTTTACACATGCATGAAAACAATTTTAACATGTAAAATTATAAATTTATATTTACAATTATGTATTTGCTGGTTTGTAAATTTTTTTCTACTTAACAATCATCTTTTCTCATCACCAAATAGTCTAAAACATGTGTTTTGATGACTGTTTGGTGTTCCCTGCTTTGAATGCACTAGTAATATGACCATGCTCAAGGTTGTGCTGCTAATAACTTTCCAAATAATAGCATTTTGACAAACTAATAGGACTTTAACCTTAATAAATTCTTACCATATGATATGTACATAGTGTAAAGGAACAAACTACAAATCTATCGGATAGCCACTGTGCCGGAGGAAATCACTGAATGTTACGTGCGTGATAGTGAATACTTTTGGTTTTCCAACCCCGGAAACTGAGGTTTCATTGCTCATAGATGTCCTGATGGGACTGCTGTAGAGGGAAGGAGGAAAAGAGGGGTATAAGTTGAGAGTCTACTGGGCAGAGCTTCAGATTCCTCTGCCTTACTTTTTAATTTGAGCAGTTCCATTTTTAACTGGTTCATATATTGCACCATGTAAGATTTTGTTTGAAGTTCTATTGCTAAAAATTTTAAAAGTTGAAAACTATTGGTCATGTATGCCAGTGTTATTTAGACATAGTTGTTTCAGCTAAACTTGACTCCAGTGAAAACTGTTTTTACTTAACAACTGACATGTCTTCTTTTTCTGTTAAGCTGGAGGAGCTCACAGAAGCTGAAGATGCTCTTTCTGAAGCCAATGCACTGAATAACTACAATGCTGAAGTATGGGCATATCTGGCTTTGGTCTGCCTGAAAGTGAGTGTTTATTATCCTTTCATGACACCCTTTGGGCACAAAGAGCTAAGGGACCAAGGAAAGCAAGAGATTAATGGGATGGCCATTAATGTATGGTAGTTTGATAAGCTTTAGATTTGGTTGTTATATTGATGGTAAGGGAGAGACCAAGTCTGGGAAATCTGTACTTAGAATGTGCTTAAAAATCATACACTCAGGGCCTCCCTGGTGGAGCAGTAGTTGAGCGCTGGGCTGCGAAGCTGCCCGCAGCCTCTGCAACGCCGGTTCAATCCCTGGCCGCTGGCGAGGGTCCCACATGGCACGCAGACCTCTCCTGCTGCCCGCTGCTCCCCTCAGCAGTGTATTTCATCAGTCTGCCTGTTCTGTTCCCTGCTCTGGCTCTGGTGGATTCTCTCACCCTCCCGCGCTTCTGACTGTACCCAGTGCTTGTATGAATAAATAAATAAATCTTAAAAAAAAATCATACACTCAGATGTATTTGTTTGGATAGGAGATTATAAAAATGGGAACAAGTCACTGGTGTCAGGTGAGTTGGGGTGGGGTAGGCTAAAGCTGGGCTAGCTGGGAATTAGGGATAGGATGGCCTCCCTGTGGCACTATTAAGCTGCTCCTCATTCTCCAGCCTAGGTTATTCTGACCATGCCCAGTTTAGTGTGTGCCCTGCCTCAAGATGAAGGAGGATGTGGGTATCATAATCAGACTAGGGTTGGGGTTAGGATCATTGAAGGTAGAGCTATGCAAAGGCAGTTACTGACAGTAGCAGGTTAGACTAAAAGGGATTAGATAAGAGGGGAGTGGTTCTCCCATTGTTTTAATAATCAACCTGATACTATAAAGTATATTCTTTATAATTGTCTCTGAAATTTTTCTCTGAGACCAGGATTCAAGATAGTTTCAATATTTACCTAATGCTCATCAGAAAATACATGGTATTTATATTTTAAATGTATTTTTTTTAAAGATTTATTTTATTTATACAAGAACTGGGCTACAGGCCAGATGCGCAGGAGGGTGAGAGGATTCACCACAGACAGAGCAGGGAACAGAATGGGCAGACTGACGAAATACACTGCTGAGGGGAGCAGCTGGTGAGACAGGGGAGGTCCGCTCACCATGTGGGTTGCTACTAGGCCGGCAGGGTGGAAGCGGCATTGTGGAAGCTGCGGTCACCTTCACAGTGCTGCGCTCAGCCGCTTGCGCCACCAGGAAAGCCCCTTAAATGTATTTTTTAAAAAGATTTATTTATGCATGCAAGAACTGGGGTACAGGCCAGAAGGGTGAGAGGATTCACCAGAGACAATGTGGAGAGCAAATCAGGCAGACCAACAGAAATACACGGCTGAGGGGAGCAGCAGGCGAGTCAGAAGTCTGCTGCGCCTTGTGGGTTGCTCCCTGGCTGGGGATCGAAGTCATGCTGCAGCGGCTGCGGACAGCTTCATAGGCTGAGTCCCAAACCCCTGCGCCACCAGGGAGGCCCTACATTTTAAATGCATTTACTTATATTTAATGGCCTCATTGCCAAGTTTCTATTTCATTATAAGTTTTCAAAAATAAATTAAAAAATCAAAATTCAATAAATTTGTTTAATAAAATTTTTTAATTATATTATTTTATATATTTTTTACATCATTCTTCATTTTTACAATGTGTGCGTTCTCAATTCCGGTATAGTCCCTGTGAAATTCCCACCACCAATTCACCCATGTACTATCACCATAGTCTCTTGTGCTGGTCCCACCCCTGGTTTGACCCTACTCTTCTCCCCTGCTGCAGAATGTCTCTGGTTTATAGTTGCTTGTTGATTTTGATTTTTTCACTTTATTATAATTTTTTTAAGAAAATAAATTTTTAAAATGGGAACATTATTTTAGCAGAATGTAAATAAGTTTCATGGACCAGCAAACGAATTGCTCTGCTAGTCTTCCTGAATCATTTCTTCCTATTGAACTATGGCTGAGGATGCTTATCCTTCAAATAGATGGGCAATTAGGTGGTGATGAGTATTTTGGATGTTTTACATATAGAAAATATTTCTCACATTTGCTTAATTTGCATACTAGCCTAAAATTGCATTGGCAATAATACAAATGGACTTCAGTTTTCCATTGAGCAATATGAAACCAAACTGACAAGGGAGTATAGTGATTATAAGAAAATTGAGCAAAATGAAAATTAGTGGATTTTCTCTTTGGAGTAAATATCCTGAATAGCATTATGAGAAATATCTCAGTGCTTATTCTAGCTCTGCCACAGCTAGCTGTGGGACTTTGGGAAAGTCACAAACTATAATATTTAGGCCTCAGTTTCTTCATCTTTAAAGTAAAAGGTCAAAATGGAAGATTTAAACATACTTTTCTCAAAAACTGATAGATTAAATAAGAAAAAAATTAGGGCATGTAAAATTTTAATAAAACGGGAAAGTTAAGCTCAAACATCAAAATGATACTCTACCTTCAACAATTAGAGAATACATATATTTTCCAAGCACAATTGAGTTAATCATAAAAGTTGAACACACAGACCACAAAGAGACTCAACAAATATATATGAATTACAGTGCAGTAAAATCATAAAGCAACAACTAAACATAGACCAAAAGGCTCACATATAGTTAGAAACTTAAAAAGATGCTATAATTAATTCAGGGTCAAAGAGAAAAGGACAATGTGCTAGAAAATGCCCCTGGAATTTACTAAACTTCAGTTGGAAAAACTTCAAGATGTAGATATTAGGGGAAGTCTTTTGGATAAAGCAAAATTTGTGAATTAATAAGAAATTTACCAATTTCTGTTCCTTTTCTCCCTAACAAACTCTTTCTCTTAAAAAAAAACACACACACACACAACAAAATTTACCATGTACTAACACACATCAGGAAATTGAATTAGATAATCCCTAAGTTTCCTTGTAGTCTGAACATTTTGTCGTTCTTACATTGATGTATAAGCTTTCCCTAGTATGATGTTATATGCAAACTTGTGAAGTATAATGGTGAAGAAAACAAAACAATGTAAACTGCAACATTAACAATTTATAAATATTTGCTATTATGTGGAGAGGAACAAATGACTAGCTAAGGATGGAGAAAGAGAGAGAGACAGACAGTTGATGGTGTAGTATCATCTCCAGCTGCTTTTCTTTTTTTTTCAGGCTGGACGGCAACTGGAAGCTGAGCAGGCCTACAAGTACACGCTGAAGGTATGATGCAGATGCCTCTGCTCTTTGTACTGTATTGAGGTTGGAAACTTGGGAGGAAGGTGCTGACTAAATTCTGGACTTTGTAGCATTTTAAGATGTGAATTATTTTTCTCAAGGCTTTTACTACCTTTGTCATTATCATAGGGCTGCTGGGTTGGGAATGATAATCTACATATTACCTTGGGGGATCTTCTTTACACCTCTTCAGAGGATATAGTTTAATGAAAAGACAGATGACCTGGGAGTCAATCAACCTAAATTATAGTCCTAGTTTGACCATTAATTTACTTTATTAACCTCTCTGGGCCTCATTTTCCTCATGTGTAAAACGAAGATCTAGTATAAGGGTCAACAAATTTTTTCTATAGAGGCAAGAGTGGGAACTATTTTAGGCTTTGTGGGCCAAATGGTCTTTATTGTTATTATACTCTGCTCTTGTAGTGTAAAAACAGTCATAAAAAATAAATGAGTATAGCTGTATTTCAAAACATCTTTACTTAAAAAAAAAAAACTTAGGCAGAAGGCAAGATTTGGCTTGCCTACTTGTCTCGAAATACAGTGCCTTAAACAAATTAATAGTTTTATTTTACTCAGCTAATGTAAATTTCATAGTAGCTAACACAGCTCCTTAATGTCATCAAAGATCCAACCTTTCTGCTTTTCTGCTCTACCACTCATAGCATACAGTTCCTACCCCTTCTAGTTGCAAGGCAGTGGGGTTGTAACCACCATATCAATGTTTTATCACAATAAAGAACAAAGGGGCTGTGCTAGCTACTTCACCTCTCTTTAAAGAGCAATTACTTTAGCTTATATTTTATTGGCCACAATTGGTCATAAGATTACCCCTAGCTTCAAAAGCAGAAAATGTGGCTTGTTGCCCTGAAAAAATAATGAAGATTTTGTGGGTATTGAGTAGATGTCTCTACTACACATCTAGACTCTAAAATTAAATTCAGACTAAGGTCTTTGATTCTCATGTATTTAATCCCTTTCTGTCATTTGCCAGTGGGACTATTATATACTAGTCAGGATATGTTGAGTGAAAATATGTTGGGTGAACTCTTTTAAAAATAAACATCATTAAAATTATTTCACACACAAAAAAAAGCACAAAGATTAGAGGGAAGTGAGTGGTTCTCCCATTTGTGAGTGTTCATACCGTTTGGTGAATTTTCATTAAAGTGAACATGTCCTTGTAACCAGCACATATTCCAAGGTCTTTTAATGGAGTTAACAAGTAGAGCATATAAGAAGACTGAATTCCATCCATAGAAACTATGTTGTTTAGCTGTGGCCCCATGAATGTATATCAGACATTATGTGTGTCCTTCCCTTCCTTCTCTCATGCAGCTGAAATTGAAAGATGCAGCTCTGCTTGAAGAGATCCATATGGTACAGGAGGCAGTTGGCTTTGGAAATCCGTCTTTTTGACATCTTTCCATTTGAAGAATTTTCTGTGTGGAATTTTGAAGTCCTGTCCTTAAATTAAAAACCATGAAATATGAGACTTGGGATGGAGAACAAAAGAATCTTTACCATAAACAGAAACTCATTCCTTTCTGGTGATGGGTTCAGAAACCCTATGTCCAACGGCTGTATTACTGGACATTTTACTAATTGACAGTAAACTGGATGACAATAAAAAAAATGGATGAGGTCATATGTGGTTCATCAGTGTGGTTTGGGGGTTAATTAAGGTGTATTTACATATAGGTAAGAATATAATTACAGGGCCTTCTAGTGGCATAGGAGTTAGGTCTCAGTGCTATTACCGCTAGGAACTAAGTTCCATCCCCAGCCAGGGAGCTAGCCTACATGTGGCACAGCAGACCTCTCCTGTTTCCCCCACTGCTCCCCTCAGCAGTGTCCTTCAGTAGTAGATCTGCCTGTTCTGCTCTCCACTCTTTCTCTGGTGAATCTTCTCATCTCTGGATTGGCTGTGGGGCCCACCTCTCTCAGCCTGTGGAAAAACCTGTGGAAAAGCTCTGGGTTACTCAGGCTCTTGATTTACCTCATTAAGGATATTTTAAATTGAAGTCAGTTCCAGGATAATGAGAATGAAGAATGATTTTATTACCTCCATTACCTCAATCCTCTCACCACCCCCCACACCCCAGTTCTTCTATGCATAAATAACTTTAAAAAAAAATAATATAATTACAATTAAGGTATAGTGGATTCATCATTAGAATGATAAAATGAAAACTTATACTATCACTATCCCTCCTAGAAGAAATCAATTGCTGAGATCCCTGGCCAGGTTCATTCACTGGAACTTGGAAAGTAAGGCCTCATTTTCTAAGGTGGGCGGTCATAAAGGAAGACTGCAATGCTGGATCACTGGATTAGGGCAAAAAGCATATTAGTTATGGCCAGACCATTTAGCTCTAACGGTGAACAAAGAGACTGAACAGAGGGCTTTGCTTAGGGTGGAGGGACTGACGCCCAGCAAGCACGGTTCTTTTTACGGATGTAAACCACAAGGGATCCAAGGACCATGCTTCACCCGTTCTCCTGGATCACTGCAAAGCAAAAGAGAAATAAAGGCTACCCCTCCTTTAAAAGAGGAGATGTAGAGAACAGAAAGGTGAGAGACATATTAGCAAACACACCAGATAAATCTACATTCATTCATAGTTCTCTAGTCTCTACCCTAATGCTATTTCCTTTACGAAGTTCTTACCGTGACACCCAGGAAGTGTCAGATTCGCCTTTTCCTCTACTGCCCCAAGTCTGTGTGTGATACTCAAGTATAACACTATCCTCTCCCCATCAGCCTCGCCGGCCAGAGATCCGCCCTCGCATTTTTGCGTTCTCAGCGCTGCGCAAAATAAGTTTGCGGAAAGGATGGGTTTGTGGAGAACCTCAGCATTTCCCTGAGCCGCTCCCGGGAGTCTCCCAGTACTCTACTCCGGAGGGGACTCGCATTGCTACCCCAAGTACACACAAGCTGCAGCGCCCGGCTTCTCCGGCCGCGGAAGGCCCCCGCGGCCTCACTGAGTCGCAGCGTGGGAACGCAGTGGCGGGAAGCGGAAGGGGCGGGGCGAGTGGATAGTCACTTCCGGCGCCGAGGCCCCTGTCGTAGCAGTGGGTTTAGGGTGAGCGGGCTGAGGTGCGCGGTCCCGCAACGTTGCGCCTCTGTCTGGGCTCTCCCCACTCCCTTGTCCCCTGCCCCCTCCGCCCAACCGAGGTCGTAGAGCCGACTCGTGGGGGCCGCAGGACTCCCCGAGGGGCGGCCAGCGGCTCACCGGCCCCCGAGCGCGCCTGCGGCACCATGGTCCAGCTTAGTGAGTGAGGGGCGCCCCGATACCTCGGGCGGTCGCGGGCTGGCGGGACCAGGCGTTCTAGGCGAGCTGCAGGCGACCCGACCCTCAAACAGCCACGCTGTATACCACGCTTAATTCTTTTCTCAGTTTTTTCCCTTAATACTCGGGGAAACGCTGAGATAAAATGATGCTCGCTTTATAGTTGAGGTAACTGAGGCTTGGAATTGGTCACAGAGCAGACGAGTGCTGAATGAATTGGGGATGAGAAAGATGTCATTTCGAAATGGAATGCCTAAGAGTGTCACAAGGAAAGATGGTATCTAAGCCAGGTTGACTAGAGTTGGTTGGAAGTTAGGACATTTCAGTGGAGGAAAGGGATTGTTTTGTATGCCTTTTTGTCGTTTTGTGCTCTTGATTCTTGTATTTTAACCATTGATGTCTCTACAGCTTCTCTCCTCTGCAAGGCTTATCGAGGAGGCCACTTAACCATCCGCCTCACCTTGGGTGGCTGTACCAACCGACCATTCTACCGCATAGTGGCTGCTCACAACAAGTGTCCCAGGGACGGCCGTTTCGTGGAGCAGCTGGGCTCTTATGATCCACTGCCCAACACTCACGGAGAGAAACTCGTTGCTCTCAACATAGAACGGATCCGGCATTGGATTGGCTGTGGGGCCCATCTCTCTAAGCCTGTGGAAAAGCTTCTGGGTAACTCAGCTCTTGCTTTTCCCTCATTAAGGTATTTTAAATTCAAGTCAGTTCCAGGATAATGAGAATGGTTTCATTACCTCCAGGCTGCTTAGACCTGGAGTGAGAGCTGAAGTTGTGATGTAAATGCCATTTTGAATCTGGAGACGCTTATTGTGGATTCCTTTATGAAACCTTTTTTTGGGTGACTGGAATTTTATGCTAAAGATGGGAATAGTGTGTTTTCAGTGGCCATTTGTCATTTATTTGTTTTCAATTAAGGAAATTTGTAAGTAAACAACATCCATTGTCTCCTTGCAGTAAAAAGAGGGGAGGGAGTTGAAGGAAAATGTAGGCAGTTGATAGACGACAGAGTTTGACTTGTTTGAAGCTTGTTTTAAGCTCATGCTCAGGTCAGGTTGTGTTAGACCTGAGTTCTGTGGGGCTCAGTTCCCAGGGAAACACTGACATGTACTGTCCTAAAATGAGTAAGAATTTGTTGCTTTTAGGTCTTTCTGGCTTTTTTCCTCTGCATCCCATGATGATCACAAATGCTGAGAGATTGCGACGGAAGCGTGCCCGTGAAGTCCTTTTGGCGTCTCAGAAAACAGATGCAGAAGCTACAGAAACAAAAGCCAACTGACTTTAGTTGAGCATAGTAGTGGGAACAAGGTCAGCGTCTTCTTAAAACACTTGTGCAGCGCTCTTAATTTCATTAGACTTAGAGATTAATAAACAGACTTTTCTGAGTTACTTATACTCTTAGGGCCTGGCCTGCTCTGTTCTTGTCTGATGTGGAGCTAGATCTATGTACTAATTGGCCTTTTCAGGCCTCGTTTTAGGAAAAACAGCAGCTGTGTGGTGGGGTGGACTTTTGGGTTGGGCCCTGTGTCTCTTGGACAACTTTTACATTCTGCTGCCTTCCAAGACGTTCCTGATTCAAAGCCCCCAACCAGCATGTCTGTGACCCATCCAAGTAATTCCTTCCTTAATCATTTATGATCTCCAAATCAGCTCAAGAGCATAGTTACTTATTTTTGTAACTGCAGATTTATATTGTCTTGATTGACACAATCTCAAATTTACAAAGGTAGATTTGTTATTACTTTTGGGCTATAATAATATACTTTTTAAGGATGAGAATATGGGAGAAAGTTAGTATATCTAGATAATTGCTCTTTATTTGTAAGTTACTGTGAAAGTAGGTAAGAGGTTCAAGGTGAGAACTTAAGGCTAAGTTCTAATGGTTTTAATATTGGGCAGAGGTGAGATTCATTTAGACCCCAAGGTGCCTAGCTGGAGAGCTTTTTTCAACATATTTTGTAGAGGGGCCTGGGAAAGACAGGGACATAACAATGAGGGATTTTTCAAAACTCCACTTTAAAAAGTCAGTGATAGAATTGGGTTTAGGTATAATGAGTTTGGTAATATAAGTGACTGGTTTTGCAAAAGACAAACAAAAAGCAACATCTGTTCCACCAGAACTACAGAATCCTTCAACCACAAGCATGGTTTAGATGGTTTTAGGATACATTCTGCTTAACACATATTTCAAATTCTGGTGTAATGCTCGGATATAGGAAATTCATATTTTAATGTAAAAACTTAATATTGTGAGGACAATTACCAGCCACCTGAAATTCTGGGGTCATCAAGATTCCCCCAAGGTTTTCACTGGTTGGCCTCAATTTTCTTAGAGACTGAAGGCCAAGAAGTGATTTTACCTGGATTGAACTTGCATCTGGGGGAAAAATGCTTTGAAAACCACAGGAACTCTGGTAAACTTTGAGAGTTTGAGATCCTTTGAGAATAGCTTAGGAGAAGAAAAGTATTGAAAAGTATTGACCTGTGAGGGGAACTGATAAGGCATGAATTAAGGTGTTATTTTGAGCTACTAACTTCTGCCAACTTAGATATCCACTTTGTGCCCTAAGGTATCCTTCGTCTGATATCTTTGTACACTCTACCTGTCTGAGCTCATCCTGTCCTGCATTTCCAAAGTTTTCCCTACTCCTTACTTTAGATCTCCAGGCCCAGATTTCTCACCATGTCCTGGATGATTGCATCCAAACCGAAACCCACATGCTCAGCCAGCTATGCACTTTACAAAACTTTGGGGTTAGGGTGAGGGGAGAGCTTTTCTTCAGCAACTTAAAATTTAACCTTTAGGTTGAGCCATGTCGAATGTTGATGCTATACCCTTTTTATTTTTAACTTAAAAAACATCAAACTATAGGTTCAATCTACTAGGTGGCTGTTATTATATAAATAAACTGCGTTGGGCAACGGGGGAAGAGAGGCGCCAGGTTTGCAGAGTAAGGGGAGGACTGCCGCGGAGAGAGTAAGTGGTATACCGCACCCGGGATACCTTTTGGGGATCCGCCTCCCCAAAAGGAGGATCCCGCGCCCGCTGAAGCCAGGGAGGTGGGTTCCACGTTCTCTTTAGTTCACGCGTTCGCCAGTCTGGCCACGCCTCGTTTTGCAGCCGCCGTAAAGTGCGGGCTTCGGTCACGCCCCTTCCGGCGCCTCTTGTGACGGAGGCGCCCGGGGCTTTTTGCGCGGGAAAGGGAAGCGGTTCCGAGCGCTGCCTGGTGCGGCTAGACCCGGCTGTTTTCCCCGAGGCCGCGGCCCGCTGCGCCCCTCTGCTGGCCATGGGGCTGCTGGAGCTGTGCGAGGAAGTGTTCGGCACCTCAGACCTTTACCGAGTTCTGGGCGTGCGGCGCGAGGCCTCGGACGCCGAGGTCCGACGCGGCTACCACAAGGTGTCCCTGCAGGTGCACCCGGACCGGGTGGACGAGGGAGACAAGGAGGAGGCCACCCGCCGCTTCCAGGTGGGCAGATCCCCGCTCCGCGGCGGACCGGTCGCTTGTTTCTCTCGGTCTCCTGGCCACCTGGCCCCGACCAGGGGAATGCGCTGACGCCGCCCGGCGTCTTCTAATGTTTATTTCTCACGGTTCAGGGACAGGCTCAGGGGTAACTTTTGGATGCTTCCCCCTCCCCGCAGATTCTCGGAAAAGCGTATTCAGTTCTGAGTGACAAAGAACAGAGAGCAGTGTACGATGAGCAGGGAACAGTGGACGAGGACTCTGATGTGCTAAACCAGGATCGGGACTGGGAAGCGTATTGGAGGCTACTCTTTAAAAAGGTAGAGGTCCCTGGAGATTTGTGACTATTCCCGTTACTTATTCAGCATGTTTACTGAATACTCCCAAGGCCTTGTATTTTGTGTTTTGTAGGAGTGAGAAATTGGACGTCCAAACACAAATACAAAGGCATTCATCAGGGGATATATGTGTGTACTCAATACTATATGTATTTAGTTGACTATATAGAGCGAGCATATATACTCTACGTATACACTATATGAGTAAATCTATAATTACTAAACGATGTCCTTATTTATAGTGTGTATTTGCTTGTGCGCGCACGTGCACACATACACACACACTCTCACACACTCAAATGGGTCTGTATTTTGCCACTGATGTAATTGTGGAAAGGGGGCATTTAGTTTTTCTCAATTTGTACTTTATTTTACATATTCAAATGTAAGTTTTGAACGCCTTTCTGGTTCTCTTCCCACCACTCAAAACTTTACTTAAATTTTCCTGGTCCATAGTTCAATGTTTGTGAACGTTGGACTAGGGAGGACTTTGGGAAGTTTTGGCATAGAAAATTTTCTTCCTTGCAACAGTTTCAATCCAAGCAACTGTTATATTTGGGGAGAACATTCCAACACCTCAATTTAGTTTTACTAGTTAACTTTTCATTTAAAATAAAATTCTCAAAGCATCTCTTATTTATTCAGATATCTCTAGAGGACATTCAAGCTTTCGAAAAAACATACAAAGGTTCTGAAGAAGAGTTAAATGATATTAAACAGGCCTATCTGGACTTCAAGGGTGATATGGATCAGGTCATGGAGTCTGTACTGTGTGTGCAGTATACAGATGAACCCAGGATAAGGAACATTATTCAGCAAGCCATTGATGCTGGAGAGGTCCCATCCTTTAATGCCTTTGTCAGAGAATCAAAACAAAAGATGAATGCAAGGAAAAGGAGGGTAAGATTTTGAATGCTCTTTATTATTTGTATCTTGCCTGCTTTCAAGAAGAATTTAAGGATAGTAATAATAATGGAAATATATACAAAACTACCGAAATATTAACAAAGGTTAGCTTATTATATGATTTTCATCTAATAAAATGAGCAAACCAGCTCATCAGGTGAAACGTGTTTCCTAATATGTTGTGCTCAGGATTTTACTATGTGAATTGTTTAAATAATTAGTCATCTTAAAGTAACACTGAAATTTTCTCATACGGACCAATTCTTGTGGTTCTGCTCAGGCATTTGTCAGGAGATAAAATAATGGAGTCCAGATATCTAGGCTAGACTGTTTCTCTCTTTGAGGCAACAGAGAGGGTGACAGAGGCTGTGTATTGTTACTACAGGTTCCTGTACCCTTCCCTGGATTGATTCTTAAGTTGGACACAAAACACACATTTTTAAAAAGTTTATTTTGATGAAAGGGTCTTTCCACACATACTTTCAGCAACACTTTTGTGCAAAATCAAGAATTGTGACCTTTGTGCCAATATTAAACTGAAATTGATGGGCACAGTGATTATGATGGGAGAGGAGCTTAGGGATAGCTGGAGTTCTGGGAGGGAGTACATGAAAGGTAGCAAAACTGTGCTGCTGGTCTTTTGGGAAAGTTACATTGAACTGTTAAGGAAGTAACCATTGTTTTCAGTCTGGATTTCATAATGAGGGCTTCAGACAATACAAAATTTTAGATCTTTGGTAGGTGCCTCAGGTAGATACCTTATTTTGTATGGCTTACTTGGGGTAGGTCTGTTGTTTTTATATAGTAGAGACAATAGAAACCTGACTGTGTACATTTATTTATTAAGGTTTATTTATTTATGCATACAAGAGCTGGGGTGCAGGCCAGGGACGCTGGGGTAGGAGGGGGTGTATGTGAGAGGATTCACTAGAGACAGTTGGGAGCAGAACAGGCAAAACAGGCAGACCGACTGAAATACACTGCTGAGGGGAGCAGTGGGCGAGATGGGAGAGGTCCGCTGTGCCATGTGGGTCACCTCCCTGGCCAGGGATCGAACCTGTGCTGTAGTGGCTGTGGACAGTTTCATAGTGCTGCATCTTAACCCCTTGCGCCATCAGAAGGTCCCCAAGTGTGTGCGTGTGTGTTTGTGTGTGTGTGTGTGAATTTAAAAGACCTGTTTTACCTAGATAAAAGGTCATGTTATCTCTGCTCTGCTTAATTGAGAAGGTGAATGCATACCAAAGATTATTTAGACTCACAGCCTACATCTGTTTAGATTCAGAGCTGACAGTTAATCTTGAATTGGTAATCATTGTCTCAGGTGAAACAGTGCAACTGGGTTCAGTAATAAGCTATTAGCTTGTGAAACTTCCCTTGAGTACGGGGGAGAGGGAAATAGTTTTGAGAGACACAAGCAAACTTGGGAGAGGCGCACAGTATTTAAAGAAACTGAATATGAGGAGTCCAAGTACAATGGAAATTATATCTCTTTATTGGAATGACAAGGTCCAAATGTATCATCATTCCTATTACGAGTATTCATGTAGAGGCCCCAAGGTATTCTGACAGTATTTTGGAAACTTTGCCCTGGGGAAATTTGGCATAAGAGAGTGGCTTTGAAAATGGTAAGAAAAGTCAAAACTGAATTTATAGGGTTTCTTCTGACTCTCAAAAGAAATTTTAAATCAGGGTTGCTCTAAAGGCTGCCATGTAGTAAATTGGGTTTTTAGAGGAGGAATTTCAGGTGCTTTTCTCCTTGGTAACATTTTTCAGGGCATCCTTGGTTAAGTAACCTTTCCTAGTTCTAACATCTTGTTTTCCTGCCTATCACCATGTGGTTTATGACTCCCAAACTACTTGCTATTGCTAGCAAGTAGAAATGGGAGAAACATAGAAATACTTACTGGAATCAGAGGATCTACTGCTTGCTCTCAGTAATGTTGTCTTTTAATGACTGATATATGTGTAATTTTATTCTTTTCATGTATATAATCCTTAAAAGGGTCTTACAATAGATTTTTTTTGGCAGATGAGGGTATGGTTTTAGCATTTGCTAGGTTGCCATAGAGACTCACATGCATTTCTGTTTCAGGCTCAGGAAGAAGCGAAAGAAGCAGAATTGAGCAGGAAGGAGTTGGGGCTTGATGAAGGAGTAGATAACTTGAAAGCAGTCATTCAGGTAAACTTAGCAGCTTTTCTGTGAAGGTTGATGCCATTTCTTCTATGTTCTGATGCCATTTCTTCTATGTTCTGATTCCTACTGCTGCTGTTTTCTTTGGAGTATACATATGATGTTATGGACATTTTCTTTACTTCTCAGTCATTATTCACATACTTTATATTTATCCTTTTAAAATGTACAATTCGATGGTTTCTAATATATTCATTAAGTTGTACAACTATCAGCACTAATTCCAAAACATTTTTATGGCCCTAAAAAGAAATTCCTTGCCCATTAACAGTCATTCCCCATTTTCTCTTTCCACTGGTCCCTGGCAAACACTAAGGTCTTTGTGTTTCTACAGATAGTCTTGTGTTTCTGAAATTTGGTGTTTTAACTTCTCAAACAGAGTAGACAAAAGGATCGGCAAAAGGAAATGGACAGTTTTCTGGCTCAGATGGAAGCAAAGTACTGCAAACCTTCCAAACGAGGAGGGAAAAAAACAACCGTCAAGAAAGAAAAGAAATAATGGAATTTTTCTTCAAAAGTCTTTAGGTGTTAATTGGTACCACTGTAGACAAGGTGCAGTAAAAATGTGAAGACAAACATCGACCCAACCCTTGCGAAAAGTCTTTCTAGCCTAAATTATTTAGATTGACTATAAACCAAGCAGAATCTCTCAACTTGATTTTAGTATCCTAGAAATTCCCTGACATTCTATGAGGTCTTCATATGAAAGAATTCAGTGGTGGTAGTTGGGGGAAGGGGGTATGTGGTGTGCTTCCTGATAGCACTTGCTTCTATGGATTTTTTCTACACTGATCTCTATTTAGAATGTAGGTCTGTCCATACTGCCTTTAGTGGTTGTCATTTTGCCACAGAGGAGGAAGCTACAGAATATTCAGAGTAATGTGCATGTTTATTGGAAAAAATTTTACCTAATAGATTACCTTCAATGAACTTGCTGGACATTTACTAAATACTAATCTGTTTTCTTTCCATCTTAATGATCTTGAATAGACCTTTTCTCCTTTATGTTTTACTTAAACCAGATTTTGTACTCTTTGCTTAAATATAGAAGAAATACATGTTTAGGGTCACTTCAGGCATCTTTGTAAGAATTATATATTATTAAATAAGTAAAGCAATTGCTAAGTTCTGGGGACTTTTAAAATGATCATCCAGGGTCTTTTAAAATATGATCTAGAAAAAAATATGGTATTTACTGTAGCAAATTAAATGTCTTAATCAGTGTTATAGTAGATAGCCCCAGTTTAAGTATCATAAAGAGATGGATGTTGTAGTCTTGGCTATACCTGTGTTTCACTGAGTCTGTCTGAACTTGTTTTCTTATCATAAAAGGGTGAGGGGGTGGGCTAAATACTTCTTAGAAGCCCCTTCCCACCCAACTCTAACTTTGAATGGGAAGCCATCTTGATCCAGTGGTTTGTTACAATGCACTCATGTTTTTGATTTGTGAGAATAATACAGAATTTCACTTATATTAGTTAAGTTTGTATGTATTCATTATAATATTTGGAAGTTTTTTTTTTTAAGGGACTTTCAATTTAAAATGTGACTTGTAGACTAATATATTCAATACCACGTGAATAAAACAAGTCTGTTACTGAACTTTATCATAATTTATCTCACATAAATATGTAACACATTTTCAGTTTATAATTACAAGTTAAATACTCTTTAATTGTATTAAATATTTTAATAGCATTAGAACACTTTGATATAATTAAAAAATTACCCTAATTTATGATCATTTAAATTTATCCACTCTGAAGATTAACAATATGATTAAAATAAGTATGATCATCAAAATTGAAATTCAGTGAAATTTAAATGAAATAAATTTAAGTCATAGTTAAAACCATTGCTGTATTCATGAGTGCACACAAGGAAAGGTCCATGGTAAAATTAGAAAAATGGATTAATTGCCAGGGTTTCTCAAATTCTGAGTACTTGTATCTTGCTTGGTCACTAATAGAGTCTAACTTATTTTTTAATTGACTGACTTAGAGCTATAATGACAAAATTTCTCAAGGTAAATTTCCTATGGTGGGGTATGGGGGATGGGAATGACCAATAAAATACTTTAGGAATAAGTGTAACCTGATATTAAGCAGGCATTGTGAGCTTGAGCTGTCCCATCTGAAAAAAAAATATGATTATATATATACTCTGCATCAATGCTCAACATTTATGTCTTTAGTTACCCTTTCCCTGTCTTTGAGATTGAACATCTAATGAGAAAGTTTTAGGAATGACATCTATTTGATGAATAGTTCAGATTTTTGGCAGCATTACCTCCCCAAAATGACTTAAAAATGAGTACTGATTTTCCAGAAATTAATACACATAGAAGTATTCCAAAGCCAGGGATGATGTTATAGAAGTCAGTTACTGCTTTTTTGTATGTATGTGTAGTCTCATAGAATCCTACAGTAATTGAACTGATCATTGTTAACAGACAACATGAGCAGTGATTTGGGGGTAATTACTCATTTGTTACATCTTTTGGTACAAATTTTACTGTCTAGTAGGATAGGCTGACTTATGCTGAAAGAAGACAGTAATTGAAAATCAGAAACAGTACCCATATCTTTGGCAGATATTCTGGTTTTTCTCCTCAGTTAGTGGTACCAAAATAACTCTTCATGAAGGTGGTTTCAAGTTGTCTCTTATATACAAGCTCCACATCACAAGATGACTGAACACTGATACATGAAATTTTCCCAGACATTGCCTGTAGCGAAGCAGCGTCTTCTCATTTGCCTTGTGGTCCGTACCTGGTTCTAGAGACTGGTCCAGTTCTGTTTTGAGATTTTGTAGACCCATGTAACTGAGGACCTATCAGACAAAGATGATACCATATAATAACAGTAGACACTGTAGAGTTGGTAATAATCACCAGTTCATATCTAAGGACTTTTTTGCTACAGTTATCAATTGGCTTTAAATTTGGAGACTGGTACTAAGAAGTAAAGTATATATTTTCCAAGGCAATAAAAAAACCATCCTTGCATATTTTATCATGTTAAAAGAAATCTATATTAATATATGGAAAGAGTAACCTTTCAGAGAAGAGTTCACTAATTAAAAAGGGCTAAGATGTCTGTTTCACTTATCTGTCATACTTATACCTGACCATTAAAGTGGCCAAATACAGGGCCTCCCCTGGTGGTACAGTGGTTAAGCGCTGGGCTGCGAGGCTGCCCGCAGCCTCTGCAGCACCAGTTCGTTCCCTGGTCACCGGCGAGGGTCCCACAAAATAAATAATAAATAAAAATAACATGGCCAAATATAATAATTAGCTCTGAGGCTGTATTGCTTCTCCACAGAGGTCTGATCTAAGAACAGAAGCCCCTGAGAGTATTCAAAAGGTGGGCAATGGCTACTAGGGACTTAGAGAATTCACTAGGTCTACAGAGATGGATGGAGGGATTACTTTTTTAGTAATTAGTACTTGATTAGTCTCATTAACAGAAAACATTTTCACTGCTCATACTTCTAAGTTTCACCTGCAACATGAAAATGACCCTGGTGGTGGAAGAAGACAATTATAGGAAGAATTAAGACATCCTTAGATTTTTTTTCTATCATTCCTATGAAAACAGTACCTATAATATAAAACCTGGGAATCAAAAAAGTTAATGAGACAGAATCAAACTCAAAAAGTCATGATATTTTCAATTTTCTTTTTTTACCCTTGGCCTATCAGGTTAACTGACAAAAGCAGTTTAATCCATAGCAATATGAAATTAAACTACATAATAAAACCCATGCAGAGTTTGAATGTTACAAAAATGACTTATCTCACTTAAATTTTTTAGCTTAAAAAAAAATCATGGGCCTCCCCTGGTGGCGCAGCGGTTGAGCGCAGGGCTGTGAGGCTGCCCGCAGCCTCTGCAGCACCGGTTCGTTTCCTGGCCGCGGGCAAGGGTCCCACCAAAAAAAAAATAACAAAAAAAAATAAATCATGCACTGCATAATGATGTTTCTGTCAATGACAGACCACATATACAACAGAGGCCCCTAGATACAGCCTAGGTGTATAGTAGGCTATACGTAAATATACTTTGTGTAACTATACTCTGATGTTCACACAACAGAATTGCTTAATGATGCATTTCTCAGAATATAACCCTGTTAAGTATACTGCTTACTTTGTTAGAGTGACTAGGGGTTAATTTACATAGTATTGTGAGACAACAGAAACCTGGAACTTTTTGACCCTGAGCAATAGAGCTACTTTTCATGTTCCATTTTCCAAAATGAATTTGAGGTGATTTATAAAATGTATATATTATAAAATAAACAATATCTGGAGTTAGGGAAAATAAGCATGGAAAAATGTAATACAAAGGCAGGGTCCTAACATAGTCATCTAGCAGTAAATAAGAGCCTGGTCCCACCTGTCCCTGCAGATCCCCTACCAGGTCGGTCCTGATAAGGATACTCAACAGCATGTGAACGATGATACTGTGTATCTGGCTGAAAAAAAAGAAAGAAACTTTTCTTACAATGGAAAGCCTCCCAAAGGATAATACATTACTAGATTTCATTGTCTGAAATCAGACAACAATGTAAATGGTATCCATCTTTAATCTGAGGGACAAATTGTCTGCATATACTCCATTGAATTCCAAATAGAAAATCCTGGGGGCCTGCCTGGTGGCACAAGGGGTTAAGCACTGCACTATGAAGTGATCCATAGCCTCTGCAGCATGAGTTCGATCCCGTGCCAGCCAGGGAGCAACCCACATGGCGCAGCAGACTTGTCCCATCTCGCCCGCTGCTCCCCTCCAGCAGTGTATTTCAGTCAGTCTGCCTGTTCTATTCCCCACTCTGTCTCTGGTGAATCCTCTCACCCTCCCACACATCTGGCCTGTACCCCAGCTCTTATATGCATAAATAAATAATTTTTTTTTAAAGATTTTTGTTTATACAAGAACTGGGGTACAGGTCAGAGGTGCGGGAGCGTCAGAGAATTCACCAGAGACAGAGCGGGGAGCAGAACAGGTAGACAACCGAAATACACTGCTAAGGGTAGCAGTGGGCAAGGCAGGAGAGGTCTGCCACACCGTGTGGGTTTCTCCCTGGCCGTCCGGAAATTGAACCCGTGCTGAAGAGGCTGTGGACAGCTTCACAGCACGGCCCTCAACCCGTTGTGCCACTGGGGAGTCCCATAAATAAATCTTTTAAAAAAAAAATCCCAAGCCAGAGACCTATAAAATCATCTGTTATTTGTCAAAAATTGCAAGTTATACAACTTAATATGACTTAATAATCTTATCAAGGGAATTTTATCCAGATTCTCTTAACATGCTGTTTAAAACAATAGAACAAAGTCTTATCAGCAACATTGAAATATCCATGACTGTACCACCATATTTGAAATGTGACACTCAATATGAGACTCAAACATTTCAAAATTACCTTAAGGAATTTAAAGATTTTAAGATATTTGAAGTATTTGAAGACACATATGTGAAAAAACAGCTATCGTGCCATCTTGTTAGTACTGCTAAAATAAACATCCCCTTTTCTCAGCTCCCTGTCAGCTTTAGAATCAAGAGACTTGAATTATTTTCTGATGAAGCCTCACAGTCTTGATCCAGGGTCAGTAAACTTATTTTTTATAGAGGACCAGATAGAAAATATTTTAGGTTTTGTGATACCTATGATCATCACTGCAACTATTCAGTTTTGCTGTTGTAGGGAGAAAGTAGCTGAAGACAGTACATAAATGAATGAATGCATTTACAAGAACAGGCAGCATGCTCAATGGCCTATGAACTGTAGCCTGCTGACTCCTAGATGAGAACACCTAGGAGCAGCATGCCTCCTAGCAGTCCCAGGCCCAGTCTCAGATCTAGTGTTTTTTTTTTTTTTTTTAATAAGATTTATTTTTTTAATTTATTTATGCCAGGGTGTAAGCCAGAGGGGGGGGGGGGGAGGGGAGGTTAGAGGATTCACCAGAGACAGAGTTGGGAGCAGAACAGGCAGATCCACTGAAATACACTGCTGAGGAGAGTAGTGAGTGAGCCAGGAGAGGTCTGCTGTGCAATGTGGGTTAGCTCCCTGGCTGGAGATTAACTCATACCACAGTGGCTGGTGATAGCTTGATAGCACTGAGACTTTAACCCCTGCACCATCAGGGAGGCCCTCAGATCTAATGTTCTTAGAAACATCTACTAGTTCATTTTCCTTTTTATGACAGTAAGTTGGGAAAGAAATAGCTAAAGTAAGAATTTTTTACTTTTGTTATTATAAACATCTGAAAGAGAAGAGACTTTGAAATGCTGTATTCCTAAGACAGCCAAAAAATTAAATAGTTGATAATCTAACTGTATAATATAATCACCAAACATTGCTTAATAAATGCTGCATCAAATTAGGGTGGATCCTAACTCCAATAACTAGTATTTTTCTAAGAGAGAAATTTGAACATGAAGACACACAGGAGAGAAGGCCATTGTGAAGACAGAGGCAAAGATTGGAATCATGAAGCTGGAAGCCAAGGAATACCAAGGATTGTTGGCAACCACCCCAAGCTGGGAAGAGGCACAAAAGGATCTAACTTAGAGCCTGCAGCAGGAGCATGGTTCTACTGACACCTTGATTTTGGACTTTGAGCCTCTGGAACTAAGAGAATCTATTTCTGTTGTCACAGCTGCCCAGTTTGTGTTTTTTTTTTTTTTTTTTTTAAAGTCTACATTTTTTTAAAGATTGATTGATTGATTGATTGATTTAAACAAGCACTGGGTACAGTCAGAAGCGCGGGAGGGTGAGAGAATTCACCAGAGCCAGAGTGGGGAGCAGAGCAGGCAGAAGGACCGAAGGACACTGCTGAGGGGAGTAGCGGGCGGCAGGAGAGGTCTGCGCGCCATGTGGGACCGTCTTCCGGTGGCCGGGGAGCAGCCGGGGATCGAACCAGCGCCGCAGAATCTGCAGGCAGCTTTGCAACCCAGCGCTCAACCGCTGCACCACCAGGGAGGCCCCTGCCCAGTTTGTGTTAATTTGTTATAGCAGCTCTAGGAAACTGATAAACTATCCCATTCATATTATTCTCACAACTTTTCTAGTGGAGGAAAGATTGTACAGTGCTTTACAATGATAAAGTTTAAGGGTTACGAGTTTGATAAATGAGCTATAAATATCACCATTCTGAAAACTGGTGTTGGGTTGTGGGGCCCCAGAGGACTGAGCAGGAAGTGTGGCCCCACTCACTTCCCCAGGCTCTCCAAGCACTCTTGCCACAAAGTAGATGAGCTGGGGCTAAGGTCCTGGCCTATAAGTGGGTTGAGTCAGCACATGATCTCCAATCTCCCAACCAGGATTTTTTTTATTGCTTAAAAGTAAAAGGGCTAGTAAATTCACATCTGATGGTAGGCAATGTCAGCATTTTAAACAATTGAAAAAATGAAAATTCCTAACTCATCTACCACTTAAGTCACTTTTTTTTTTTAAAGATTTATTTTCATTTATATAAGAACTGGGATAGAGGCCAGGTGCGGGGAAGGTGAGAGGATTCACCAGAGAAAATTCAGTCACATTTTTAACTCTGTAAGCAGAGGGTTAGAGAATGGAGTTAGGCTGATCTGATACATGTTGGGGTTTAATATTTTTTGGTTGCTGTCAGAAATATCTAAACTTTTAAGTAGTTTAGAACTTGTCATTTTTATATGTGTTTTACAGGCAAATTGAAAGAATGAGTGGCAGGGACTGGCATAATTTCGGTGAAATGTACTTGCCAATACCTGTTGTTACAACCTCAATTTTTATTCTTGGAGTTGATTAAACCATTATATCTGAAAGTCTGCCATACTAGGTTGTTTTTGTTTTTTTTTTTTTTTGTCTCTTATTTTTCCCCATCTGGCAAGACCATTAGAAGGAGGTATGTCACTCTACCAAAAATGACTGAGTTGTGTTGGGCCTGGAGAAAAAGTCAGGTAAGAGGAGCTTCTCCTGAGGCTGCTGATGGTTAGGCTCATCCACTGCTGCGCTTCGAGCTCGATTGGTATCACCATGGGTTTTCTGCAGAGAAGACAAAGATTGCAAAAACAGTTAATTTATAGTGGGAGCTGTGCCCTTACCTACTAGGTATGGTAACTGCAAGCTAAGCAGCTCCAATTCCATTGTTACAAATTTAGAATTCAGGTTGTACTTTTGACCAAGAACAATATAAATCAAGCAAGAGCACAGATTCTGCATAATTACTGCCCATAAGGTTTCATAAGTACATGGAAAGGCAATATGAAAGAGACATACCATCTGCCTTTGTGACCCCACAGTGCTCAAGTGTTCTACTTCAGCTGTGCCAATAGGTGGCAGCAGATTATTTCGACTCAGAGGCATTGGTGAGGGAGAAGAGAGCGAGTCGGCTGCCACTGGACTGCAGATCCCACCAGCGAACACCAACAAGATATAAGAAAGCATAATAATAGAAGCAAACTGATTAGAAATCAAATAAATGAAAAAGCTTTAAGCTGCCTATATTTTTAAGAGAATTTTGGAAAATTGTTTTGGGCTTCATAGTTTTTGATATTTTATTGAAACTGGGCAGAGCAGAAGCTGACCCTTTCACAAGAGAACTAGAATAAAATACTTTTCCCTCTGTTAGGTATTTCTCCTCTAATTTTGGATTTGTAATTTCACATCTGATGGAATTTTCCACTCTTCTGGGCCTTCTGGTTGTCCTCACTAATAACTGTAATTTCCAAGTATTCATTTTCTTCCATGGGATTTGGAGTAGCTTGCAGTATTACTCATACCCAAGGCAATAACTGAAACTTGAATGATACTTGAATGATATTTACTGGTCCCAGAAAATAACAAATTATTTGTCCCCTTTGAAAAAAAGCAGTCAGAGGAATGAGAGATTAATATTCTTCAAAACCACTCATTCCCAAATGAATAAATCAGTGGCTGTATTAGTATACATACAGCTACATTACAGAAAAATACAGTGATACATGTTTAACTGAGAAGATGAATTCCAAATAGTTATAGCCTAATTATCTCATACCCTTGGTAATAACCTTAGAAGTCACCCATCCTAAGATGTTTTGTGATTCAACAACTAATGAAAGAATTTCATACAAAAAATTGACTCCCAGGTATTTGCAGTGTTTAGTAAATGAAAGGTAGGTAAAGGAAAATGAATATTCCCCTGCTATATAAGCTAAGATCTATGAATTTATCAATGTGATATTTACAAAGTTTTTGTCATCAGTGGAATAAGTAGATCCCAAATGACTCAAAATATTAAAGGAGAATTAACTTACTTTAGGGTAAATTTCACTGAGCATGTTCCCACTAAGGAAAATGTTTAATAAATTACATATATCTCTTATTCCTTTAGTAAGTCCCACTGAAGTATCTAGCCAGCATTTTATTTATAGAAATGTAATTCTAACTAAACCTATACAGTATCTGTATTACATTAAAATTTAACCCTTTTTTTCTGAGTGGATTTAAATCAATGTCATAAGGATATGTAAAGATTATTTTCTAGGTGTAGATTGCAAAATCTAGAAACTATGTTTTTGAAACCTACACTCGGGATCCTCTGAGGATTTCGTCCATAGGTCTTGGTGTTCCAGCGCGTGAATGGCTTGTGCTGATGGGATGAAGGGTACGTGGTGGGGGATTTCGTCTCCTGCCGGACTGCACTGTATATGACAGAGATGATGTACTAAGCTCCAGGGCTCGATTTGACCAATTTCGAGTTGAAAGGATGGTACTGGACCCAGGCCTCAAAAGTAGCTTGTCATCAAGATCTCTAGTGGCCAAATCAGAAAACACAATGAAATCAAGATTGGTCTATACAGAGAGACATGACTCACGTGAAAAGCCTTAGATTTCAAAATACATTCAAGGTAGAGAAAAGCCAAAGTAAAAACTATTGAATAAGTAACATACTTTCTAGAAATCTTATAATCTAGCTGAGGCATGGGGCTTAAGAAAAGAATACCATTTTACTCATTCACATAATTTACTAGAATGGAGATTGCAGTCACGACCAGTGAAGACTAATAAGGTTATCTACTTCAAAGGGCTTTCAAAAGTTTACTCAAATTCCTATCTTATTTGAGGCATTGTTTTATGCTGCAGGAATATCTCCAGGAAGACTTAGTTGAAAGAAGAATGTGGTTTTTTGGAGCAGTGCGGCATTGGTGTGATCGCCCCTCACCATTTGCAGAGATTAAAGTACTGAGCTAGTTGGAGACTGCAGAGCAGTGGGGGTTTGGGTTTCTTGGATAGCTGGGAGCAGGCAAAGGTCCAGAGCCTTCTGTTGCCCAGGCAGCAGGATAGCAGTAGATCCCTATTTGTATAAACTGAAATGCAACATTTTCTCTAAATACCCTGGTAAATAAAATACCATACCTAGTTCAGGAGCTTTTAGTAACTTAAACTATGCCTCCAGGTGGGAGGGTAGGGAGTTTAACCCTACCCTAGGAGAGATAGTATTTGCCCATCAAAATGTTGGGAAAGACAAAGAATAATGTTCTGCTATGTACTCTTGGCTTTCAGTAAATTCCTCAGTGTTTCAGAGCACTTTGGTGTCCTCTGGTGCAAAATATCCTTCAGTGTTTGGAGATTTTTTAGTGTCCTGTTGCCTTAACTCTTCACATACCTTTTCTTTACAGGCCCTAACTGCTTTCTAATTACCAAAGGTTTAGGCCTTCGCTGTTCTCATATTTTGTTTTCTGGACTACTCATAATTCTGGATTTGATAATCTAGATCCTCCAAATCTGTCCTCTTCCTTTTTCCCAGTGAGAGAACCTTTCATTATAAACTCAGCACACCCAAACCAAACACCTTTTCATCCTAAGTAAGCTTCCTCAGAGTGTGAAATCATATAGTTGACTTTGATTCCTCTATTTCTATAGAATTTCATCTCTCTCATATCTCCACAGATATTTCATTCCTTTCCTGTCCTTCGCTATAACTTGAGTACAGACCCTTAGTAGCTCATGCTTGAACTCTTGGATTAAATTCCTGAGCTTCAGTTCTTTGTGCTTCAGTCTGATCTATGTTCCACTCCTGTGAAATTGTTCAGAATCCTCATTTAAATATATATACTTCTCAAACTGAAACTCATATATTGCTGGTGGGAGTGTAAAGTGATAAAACTACTTTGGAAAGTTAACATGTTTTCTTATAAAACTGGATGTACACATACCTATTTTCTGACATTTCTAGATATCAACCCAATATAAATGGGACCATAGGGTCCGTAAAAAGATATGTGCAAGAATACTTATAATGACTTTATGCTTAAAAACCCCAATCTGGAAACAACCTAAGTGTTCATTAGCAGAAGGATGGATAAACATATTGTGGAGTATTCTTTTTTTTTTTTTTTAATAGAGGCATGTTTTATTTATTTATTTGTTTGTTTTGTTTATACATGCACTGGGTACAGTCAGAAGCGCGGGAGGGTGAGAGAATTCACCAGAGCCAAAGCCGGGAGCAGAGCAGGCAGAAGGACCGAAGTACACTGCTGAGGGGAGCAGCGGGCGGCAGGAGAGGTCTGCGCGCCATGTGGGACCCTCCTCCGGTGGCCGGGGAGCAGCCGGGGATCAAACCGGCGCTGCAGAGGCTGCGGGCAGCTTCGCAACCCAGCGCTCAACCGCTGCGCCACCGGGGAGGCCCAGGGAGTGTTCTTAAAATATATTATTATCTGGCAATAAAAGAGTAGGTAACAGGCAACAATATGGAAACAACAGAATGGCACGGCCTAGTGCTAACCTTCACTCCTTTCATAGAACATCAGAGGACATTCGACTTCCCCACTAATCACCACAGTCTTTTTTATCATCAGAAATCTATTGCCTGAAACATTCAAGTTCTGACTTATTTCCATCCTACTATAGGAAAATGGTCTACTTTCTCCTCTAAATATTTTGTATTTCCCTTTCTCATACTATTCCTCTTGCCTAGGATAGGCTTGCTGCTTTCGTTGCTTAACAAAACTCCTATCTTTGAAGGACAAATTCAGAACTTAAGACATAGTATCCAAAATGCCTTCCTCCTTTGGCAATGGATGCCACAGCACTCTTTGTACTACACTTGGCACTTTCACAAAAATGCCCTGTTTTGTTAGATTAGGTCTCTTTTTACCCAGGTGTGGATTCTCTTTCCAGTATATCACCAGTTATTCAGGGTTAGAGATCATTTCTCTTAGATGTTTTTACTCCCTGGGTGTCTCGTCATTTGGTAGGTATTCAGTACATGCACACTGATTTGCTCTCCTTTTTATTTCTCATTGATCTACTTAAACTCTATAGTCCATAAAATTTTATACTTCTTACAGGAGCTTGTCCATTAGGGAGAGATTTCTTGGCTGTAGAGGCATCCCATGAACCAAGAGACCATTCACATTTGGCTGATGACCACTTGCTCCTTGACAGAGACTCATCTACATGTCAAAAGAAGATATTACTCATTATTGGTTGACTTGGTTTCCCAATTTTACCAAAAGTTAGTATTTACAAAGTAGGTCATTTATACATTTCCTCCTGTGCCACAACATTTTAACACCTTGGCAAGTAACCCCAGCTGGTACCCCAAGTCCACTGATAACATGACAAGTCAGTCCTTTCCTCTGTTTCTATATGACAGAAGATCTGGAAAGCCTGATGACCCTGGGTGAAAGCAATTAATAACCACTCTAATAATGGGACAGAGGACCTTTAATATTACTATTTATATTACATTAAAAAAGAAAAGGGTAAACTCTAACATAATCCCTTTACCATTGCACAATTCTTCACTCTTCATAAATTACTCCTTCAGTAACTGTGGAGCAGTTAGCGCTCGGTGATAACCTAAATTCTAACTAAGAATTTGTTCTAATGTTAGCAGGGTTTAATCTTTTTTTTTAAAAGACTGATTTTTATTTATAGAGGAACTGGGGTACAGGCCAGAGATGCGGGGGTGGGGGGGGGTGAGAGGATTCACCAGAGAGACAGTGGGGAGCAGAACAGGCAGACTGACTGAAATACACTGCTGAGGGGAGCAGCAGGCAAGTCAGGAGAGGTCTGCTGCGCCATGTGGGTATCTCCCTGGCTGGCCGGCAATCAAACCTGTGCTGCAGAGGCTGCGGACAGCTTCACAGTGCTGCGCTCAACCCGCTGTGCCACCGAAGAGGCCCAGCAGGGTTTAATCTTACCAGGACTGACATTGCTTCCTCACAGTCTTGCTTGTTTTCTCTCAGCTCATCAGTTCAATACCGTTTCTAATCATCTCTGCCAAAGAAGGCATTTTCCTCCTACCTTCTCTCAAGAATGTTTGGATTAACACTTCTCCTTCCTTTGAACATTAAAACCAGAACCATCTAAGTCAACTATTCAGGATTTAGGGTAAGCCATAGCCAGATCAGTTCATGTAGAAATAATTTATCACCACCAAAAGAGGATTAGTTAACCTGGTTCATGTTACCACGTGATAAGGTATGGCCACTGCTCACTTTATTTTTAAGTAATTCTTTTGCAAATCCAGATGTATATCTGGCCGCTATACCAATAAAGCAAATACTAGATCTGGATAAAACTTTGGACTGATGAACATGGCCCAGGATGAGAACCCTTTTTTCTGGAACCCTCTCCCCACCTTTTTTTTTCTGCCCCACAAGTTACACTGGTAAATGGCGTGTTGGAACTGGGAATACATAAATTATTACACATGGAATAAGATCAGGCTCATAAGCCTTCTGTGAGAAATAGCCATCTTTATACTTGTCCATAGACTTAATTGAGATTGATTTTCTCCTCTAATTTGCCATAATTTACACCTGGGTTATGGGAATAACCATCAAGAAAGCAAAATAATAAAGCAATAAATTTAAATATTAAAAATAAAACAACTGGGTAGTCTGAGATAAGAGAAAGAGTCAAGAAGAAACTAAAAGATATGTTAACACCATAGAAAATCTGAGATGATCCCTCTTTTCATCATATCCTTCATCCTTCCCAAAACAAACATAGGCTGACCACATAGTTGCTTCTAGATTGCACAACTTATGGATGCCTTTTCAAAATTGTTGATTGAGAATTTTCAACCCTAATCAAGAGTCACTTGATTATGATGATAAACACAGCTTTATTGGGGAAAAAAAACACAACAAAACTGAGTCATAAATAATACAATTTAAAAACTGAGCAAATTTTCTCTGGCAATAATAGCCATAGGTTTCCAGTACTTTCCTCTTTAGCACTTACTGGATTTGAGGTCATGGATAGCACCTTAGACTGTGGCACTCGAGGTAGGACCAAAGGTTGTAGTTCATTCAGCACACAGGGGCTTTCTGAGGCTGGTCTTGTGATTGCAACATTACTCTCGTCATCTGAACAAAGGAACAGAATCTCTTATTCATGGATATCTTAACACTACCTAGTACTATGAAAAATCTCCCCTGAGAATGCATAATCTCAAAATTAGGCTTCACTCGTATTTCTGGCCCAATTTCACGCCACCTCATGGTTCAAAAAAACCCCCCTCAAGCTAAGAATTTAAGTGGTTTCTCTGTCTGATTATGCCTCTTCGTACCTTGCTGAAAGAAAAATGATCTATAGAACAAAGAACAAAGCTTAACAAAGAACGGTTAAGAGTTGATGGACATGTTCTGCATTTGCACTGATAGAGTAGCCTCTACCCATACATGTTATAAGTTACTTAATATAGGACTAATCTGACTGAGAAAAAGAATTTTCAGTTTTCATTTTTGTTTAATTAAATTTTATTAAAATTTAAATGACTACATGTGACCAGTAGTTACTATAGTCAGTATTTAGGACAGTTTAGCTCTAGGAGATCATTCATCTGAGTCTTAATTCCCACACATTAAATTACAAGGTAACACCTTACTACCTTTAAAACCACACAATACACAAGGAAACAAGACACCTTGAGAAAGAATAAACAAAATAATGAATCAGCAAATTGGAAACAAAAATGGATCAGAAATTGAGATTAGTGGCAGAATACAGAAAAACAAATGAAGCAATTGAAGATAAGAGTAAAGAGCAAGATGTCATAAAAAAGACCAAGAAGAACTGAAAAAGGATAAAACTACAGAAGAGAACTAAAATTACCAAAATTAAAGAAACCCAACACAGTTAATATCAGAATAGGTCCTACTGAAGATGGAATTAGTGAACTATTAGGAAAAAAGATTTCTGAATTCAGTCTAGAAAAATGAAAAGGAAAATATGAGTAGTACACTAAAAAGAGTGAATTCTGCTGTTTGTAAATAACATCTTGATTTTTAAAACAAAACTACAATGAAACACCTTTTACATGTTGACAAAAATTTAAAACTTGATCAGTAAGTATTAAGACTGTGAGCACAGGAACTCATGTACTGTTAGTGTTGCAGTAACTGCTGACTATGTAGAGTGACCTAATAAAGTTGAAGATGAATATTGCCTGTGACCCAGGAACTCCACTCCTTAGTACCTACCTTTGGAGAGATTCTTGTTATAAATACCAGGAGGAATGCTCAAGAATGTTCATAATGTCATTGATCATAATTGTAAAATACTGGAATTTTAGCACTTTTCACCAATTATGAATCTAAAACTGAACCCAAGATGACGAACCACGTTTTTGAGTAAAATGAATATGAACTCTTTTGGTCATTATTTCTAAATAATTTCCATCATCATCATAATTTTGTTTACTATTGTTGTTTATTCAGAGAAGATACGTATCACTTAACAGAAATGTCCAGTGAAGCTTGTTTCCTTGTCAGCAAATTAGGGTTAAAACACATAATTATTTTAAAACAATATTCTTATACATTTCAGATTTTAAAATCAGCCTGGTTAAAACTTTAAAACAAATTACTAAAAATATACTCACTCAGTTTTATATACTTTTATATAGATTCAAAAAACTTTAAAATAGCACAAGTTGGCATGTGGTCTTATTGCATATGACCAGGATGTAGTTTGGATTTCTTCCTCACACAGTGGTATAAAAAGTTGCTTTAGTAGTAGAGATAGGTTTGTAACAGCACCTACAGATTAACTCAAACAACTAACCACCCCCAAAATACAAGAGTTCTCTTTCCACACTTAAAGGTATTTTATTATAGTGGTAATAGCTAACATTTATTGTCCTTTTACATATCTTTCATTTCCTCCCTAGTTTTTAAGTTGGAATTTCTCTAAATGTTATCCTTTCTCTGGCCCACTACTATGTTGGGTGTGGTGGCGGTGGCGTCAGAGACCTTGTTTCTGGGAGTGGAATGACTGGATTATATGGTTAGATGTAAGTATAACCTTCAGTTTCCTAGATCTTTTAGACTTTTGAGCTGATGCTCCAATAGGATATTTCTTGGGAACCTTGGGTGGAGGTTTGATGTATTTTGCATGTGGGAGGGGCTAGAAGGAAGACTACGGTACTAACCCTTAAGATAATAGCCTCCCCATTATTCCTACTTCATGCCTTTGTGTAATTCTCTCCCTTTGATTGTGGGCAGGACCTGTGAGTTACTTCAGACCAACATATGATTGTAAAAGTGATGAAATGTCACTCCATGATTATGTTATGTTATATTAGCTTCTGTCTTGCTAGCAGAATAGCTCTCAGTCATTCTTGCTGGCTTTGAAAAATAAAGTTGCTGTGACTTAGCCAGAGGAACTACATCCTTCCAAGAACACACAAAAAGGGAATGTGAAGCCTTCCTCTATATAAGAACCCATCCCTAGTCAATACCTTCCATCACAGCCTTGTAAGATACTGAGGAGAGGACTATCTAGTCTGCTCTTGGACTTCTGACTCACAAATTTGTAAGATACTAAATGCGTGTCACTTGAAGCTGGTAAGCTTGTGATAATTTGTGGTACAGCATAGAAAAATCAATGCAAATAATTCTTAAAAAGTCAAATATACAGGGGCCTCCAGGATGGCCTAGGGGTTAGTCTCAGCACTCTCACCGCTGCGACCTGAGTTCAGGCCCCGGCCAGGGAGCTACCCGCATAGGCGCGTGGGAGTTAGCCCCATAAGGGGGCGTGGAGCTAGAGCGCATGTGGAGCAGCAGAAGGTCTCTTCTCTCTGTGCCTGCTGCTCTGCTATGCTCTGTGCTCCAGATCTCCCCTCGCTCCGCCCTCCCCCTCCTCCTCCCTCCTCCCCCGCCCCCCCCACATGTCTTCCTAATAAAATCTGAAACCTAGATACTCCTGAGTGCCTTAAACCAAATGTGAATCAGTTGTGATTAACAAGATTAAATTTAAAAAAAAAAAGTCAAATATACAACTAACCATATAATCCAGTCATTCCATTTTTAGAAATTTAAGAGGAAAGGAAATATCTCCAAAAAACTTTTGTATTCTAGTATTCATAACAGCTCTATATGTAACAGTACAAACTAAAAACAATCTGAATGTCCATTAACAGATAAATGGATAAATACATTATAGTACAATGGAATACTGCTCAGCAATAAAAAGAAATAAATTATTGATACAATCAATGGCAGAAAAACTCAAAATCATACTGTGTGAAAGAAGCTGATGAAAAGTAAAGTAGTTAAAAATATATCTGCCACTTGCACATGTTTATTCATCACAAATGATTATATTCAAAATGAAAGCACAATCGGGTCTAATCATCACAGACTAGACCTTGTTATTTATTCACACATTTTCATATATATATTTTTTTAAAGATTTATTTATTTATATAAGCACTGGGTACAGTCAGAAGCGTGGGAGGGTGAAAGAATTCACCAGAGCCAGAGCAGGAAGCAAAACAGGCAAACTGACGAAGTACACTGCTGAGGGGAGCAGCTGGCGCGGTAGGAGAGGTCTGTGCGCCTTGTGGGACCCTCGCCAGGTGGCCGGGGATCGAACCGGCGCTGCAGAGGCTGTGGGCAGCTTCGCAACACAGCGCTCAACCGCTGCGCCACCAGGGATGCCCGATATATTTTCTTAATGTTAGTTTCTATGGGAAATACAAACTATAAACCAGACCATTTTTGTACCGATGACACTTAAAAACAAACAGACTGGCTAGGGTTTGAAACTCAAAATTATTTTTCAATATTTTTTCACAAAGATCCTTACCAGAAGCAAATCCCTCCCAGTGATTACGTGTCAACTGCTCCATACAGCCCAGGACCTTGCTCCACACGTCATCAAATACATAAGCAAGGACATCCTCTTTCATGCAGTAAAATGGAGCAATGGGAGGGTACCCTAATTTCTGTTTCTCTGTAGCTGCTTCTGATTTCTTCCCATGAAACCCCTCTTCCCTGTAACAGAAGCATGAAGGGAAAGACTTCTGGTTATCGTTTACTGAGTGTTTGCCATTGTCCCTATGCTTTTTATACTGTGATTTATGCCCCACACTTGTGCCAAGTATATGTATTGATAGTATGTATATGAAGCTCCCCTGTGAACTAAGGGAGTTATCAACAGAGGAGACTCTGCTTTTCCCTTTTTACTTCTACCCCACCTTTCTGCCAAAAAATGGAATGAGAAAAAGAAAACTAAGAATCACTGTACTTTCTTTTAGCTTTAAAATGATTAACATTGTCAGCTGAGCAGCAAGCAATATAAATTAAGCATATATAATAATGTAATATTTGGAGTAATAATGTAATATTTAATGACATGTAATTGTGATTATGATCCATAATTATTTGAGGCAATTTTTCATTAAGGAAACAGACCACAGAAATTATTAAAATTAGTATACTTTTACTTAGCCAAATAAACATTTGGTAATTGCCTAGAAAGGAAAACGAGAACTAAACAGCAGAGAAGGCTACTCTGAGGCTCTTCTGAGACCCTGTATCAGTATCCCAGAAACTCGCAGTTAGCCAAGTCTCTTCTCTGACAGAGTGCCAATAGCCCCAGGATGGAGGGGATGGGGGTGGGGTGTGTTCAAGGAAATCTAGCTGATCGATATGAGAGATTAAAACAGTGATTTTGGACCTGGTTTGGAGAAATATCCCCAAAGTTAGCTCTAGGGCAACAGAGATCCCAAGAATTAAACAGGAAGCTGTAGCCAGGAAAGGATTGTTTCAGGATGATGCAGGCAGCCAAAGACTTCACTTCTCTAAGGAGAGCTGGTTTGGCATTAAGTGTGGAAGCAGGCTGATTAGAATAACGTGAATTTAAATTTCTTTTTAGAGGAGAAAAACACATTGATATGATTTATATGACTGATTTATATAAGCCATGATTCATATGATAAAAAAATGAATTCTACCGAAGGAAATATATAGATGTAGTGAAAAACAATATATTCCTGTCCTCAGTCAACATTTCATTGTATATTAAAACATTATACACAGTTCCAGAGACGTCGTTCCGTACTGTGCCACACCTCACTTTTTACATTCAACAATGTGTAGAGACTTTTGATCCTTTCAATACATATAAATCTGTCTCTTAAAAAAAATGGCTGCAAAACATTCCTTATGATCTAGCAATTCCACTCCTAGGTATTTACCCAAAGGACACAGAAACATTAATTCAAAAGGGCACCTGCACCCCAGTTATAGCAGCACTATTTACAATAGCTAAGCTGTGGAAACAACCCAGATGCCCAAAAATAGATGACTGGATCAAGAAGATGTGGCTTATATACACAATGGAATATTACTCAGCAATCAAAAAGATAAGCCCATGCAATCTGCAGCAACATGGATGGAGTTGGAAGGGATCATACTCAGCGAAATAAGCCAGAAAGAAAAAGAAAAATACCAGATGGTCTCACTCATAGCAGGAATCTAGAAAACCTAAATAAGGAACCAGGAAAAAGACTAATTATAATAAAGAAAAAGTCAAAATCAACAAGCAACTATAAACCAGAGACACACTGTGGGGGGAAAGGGGAGAGGAGGGATTAGGGCCAAAATAAGGGGGGTGGGAATTGTATGGGGAATATAACCAAAATGGAAAATGCATTCATGAAAAAAGATGTAAGAATTATATAAAATATATTAAAAAATATTAAAAAATAGCTGCAAAACAGCCTATAGGATATGCCATACTATATCCTTGCACATAGCACTTTGACTACTTAGGAGTTATAGCTGTAGGATAAATTCCTACAGAGTTACTGAATCAAAGCTTATAGCCAATTTAAAAGATACTGTTCATTTTTCTCTAAGGAAATGGTATAATTCTTCAGTAGCAAAAGAAATTGCCTGTTTTCCCACTCAAGGAATTACCAAACTTCTTTATCTTTTGTTTTCTACCAGTTTGTCAGATAAAATAGCATATCGCTACAGTTTTTTTTTTTAAGATTTTCATTTATGCATATAAGAACTATGGTGTAGACCAGAGGTGCAAAGGGTGAGAGGATTCACCAGAGACAGCGTGGGGAACAGAACAGGCAGATCTACTGAAATACACTGCTGAGAGGAGCAGCAGACAAGACAGGAGAGGTCTGCTGCACCATGTGGGTTAGCTCCCTGGCTGGCTGCTGATAGCTTCATAGTGCTGAGATTTAACCCCTTGCGCCACCAGGGAGGTCCCCATATATAATGTTTTAAACCAGTGTTACTTCAATAAAAAATAATAAAAGGAAGAAATCTGTGTAATCTTTAGCGATTCTAGGAATATTTATACTGTGTATGTAAGCAAGACTCAGCAGGAAATATAATGGGAAGAAAATTCCAGAATCGTGTGACACAATAATAACCAGCCCTACCTAAAGTTCAAAGCTAAAAATTATCATTTTCAGATGAGATGCTGTCACTATCAATTATGGAACTAATAATAAAAGACTTACAGATTTAGTTTCTTAAAGTAGCATGGGATAGTAGAGAGAGCACTGGAGTTAGAATCATATGAATAAAATTTTAGTTTTAGCTTTACCTTAGAAAAATCATTTAAACACCCTGATTCTTTTTTTTTTTTTACCTGACTTTATTTTTTATTTATTTATTTTTTTTTTAATCTTAAATTTTATTTTTATATTCCCCCATACAATTGCAAACGCCCCATTCTGACCCCAATCCTTCCCCTCCCGCCCCCCCCCCCAAAAAGTGTCTCTGGTTCATAGTTTTTTGTTGATTTTGATTTTCACTTTCTTATATTCATTTTCCTGGTCCCTTATTTAAGTTTTCTAGATTCCTGCTATGAGTGAGACCATCCGGTATTTTTCTTTTTCTTTTTGGCTTATTTCGCTTAGCATGATCCCTTCCAGCGCCATCCATGTTGCTGCAAATTGCATGTGTTTATCTTTTTTGAATGCTGAGTAATATTCCATGGTATATATGTACCACATCTTCTTGATCCAGTCATCTACTTTTGGGCATTTGGGTTGTTTCCAAAGCTTAGCTATTGTAAACAGTGCTGCTATAAACATAGGGGTGCAGGTGCTCTTTGGAATTGATGTTTCTGTGTCCTTTGGGTAAATACCTAGGAGTGGAATTGCTGGATCATATGGAAGCTCTATGTTTAGTAGGTCCAGAAATCTCCACACAGCTCTCCATAGTGGTTGGACCAGTTTGCACTCCCACCAACAGTGCAGAAGAGTTCCTTTTTCTCCACATCCTCGCCAACATTTGTTGTTGCTAGTTTTTTTAATATGTGCCATTCTCACTGGTGTGAGATGGTATCTCATGGTAGTTTTGATTTGCATTTCCCTGATTGCAAGTGATGTTGAACATTTTTTCATATGTCTGTTGGCCATTTGCATTTCCTCTTCAGAGAAGTTTCTTTTTAGCTCTTCTGCCCATTTTTTGACTGGATTATTTTCTTTGTTGTTGCTGAGTCTCATCAGCTCTTTGCAGATTTTTGTGATCAGTCCTTTATCATTAGTGTTGGGTGCAAAAATGTTCTCCCAGTTGAACACCCTGATTCTTATCTACTCTGTAAAGGAGTTAATTGGTATCTATGTCATAGGACTATTTCCCAATTACAATAAGAATAGATAAAAATGAGCATTATTAATTATAAAGTCTGCTAAATATATTTTTTATAAACTGTATACCTTTTCAAACAGAATTTATGTATCAAAGTTCACAATTCTTCAACTGCTCTTTTTTTTTTTTTTGTGGGACCCTCGCTGGTGGCCAGGGATCGACTTGGCGCTGCAGAGGCTGTGGGCAGCCTCACAGCCCAGCGCTCAACCGCTGTGCCACCAGGGGAGGCCCTTCAACTGCTCTTTTAAAAAGTTTCAGTTTCTATGCGTTACTAATAATTACAAAAGGTAAAATCAAATTATGTAGAGAAAAAAATCTAATTAAAAATGTCTAATCTGAGAAAGAGGCAAATGGCATGAGCAGAAAGAAAATACACAAGGTAGTTTAGTATTTGGAAACCACAGGAATTTATACCAACTAAGAATATGAACTCAGGATACCTGAAAAGTAACAGAAAATAAATAACATAAGCTGATATACATCTAAGTATAGGTAATACTGATAATATATTCTAGGAAGAAATAGATGTTAATAGACAAAATAGAGTAAAAAGCGTAAAAAACATAATACTCACGTATCTGTGCAGTCAAATGCTAGGTATTCCTCTATTATTCCTTCGGAGAAGATTACACAGTCTTCCTCTCCATTTTCAGGAGAACACAAGCTAGGGGATTTGGCAGTGGAAGATTCTTTCTGAACATAAGATGAAAAATGTAACTTCTTTCCCCTTATGCCAAATCTGAGAGGGAGAAAAAAGCAATTATTATGTACAACCTAATTCTCATAATAGCACAGTGACATGAATTTTGGCTCAGATGTCCTGATGACACCTTCCTAGACTATTCTAAGCTTTCTCAGAACAGGAAAATTAAATATTAGCCATAGAATTCAGCCTAGGTGTACTACTTAGATAGGAATATGTGCTGACTCATTCATTTCAGTATGTTTACTTTAGAGAAAGCAAGTTAAATCTGTAACCAAATATTAAATATTACTGTGTATATTTTTATTCCTTGTGCTTTTTTGTGCCTTAAGTATTTTTTTAATGGGGAAATAAGGGAGTCAACATAGCGCTTTTCAGCAAGGTGAGTGGTAAAAACATTGGCATACATTTTGGAGATAAGTATTAGAAACCTTAAAATAAGCATACCCTTTGATTCAATGGTGTCATTTGTAGGGGTTTCCTTCAAGGATGTGACCCATAAGATTTCACTGTAGGAATTATTATCACAGAATTGTTTATAATTGCAAAAAAATTGAAACTAGCCAAAGTATTTCAATATACACAATTGGGAATTAGTTGTTTAATGGTATAATCATACACTAGAATACTATGAGATCATGAAATTCATGTTGTAGAAGAACATGCTACTCACATAATGTTCCCAGACCCAAAAAAAACACAACCTACCAAATCATACTAAATAGTACTGATGTACTTTTGGATGGGGGAGAAAACTATAAATACCAGAATTGGTATTGCTGGATCATATGGTAATTCCATTTTTAATTTTCAAAGGAAATTCCATACTGTTTTCCATAATGGCTACACCATTGTACATGCCCCCCACAGTGCAAGTAATTTTTATTGAGCTATTTATTTAGACCAGGAAAGGTAAGTCCCTTAAACTAAAGCAGTAGAATGCAGTTTTTTTTCAAGTGGAAATGTCCTCAAGCTTATCTTTTCAAGGTACTCTTGTGGCCTGTATTTTCTGTTTATGCTTTCATTTCCTGGAATTTCATTTTGTTTTTTTTTTTTAAAAGATTTTTTATTTAGGACCTCCCTGGTGGTGCAAGGGGTTAAGCACTGCAATATGAAGCAATCCATAGCCTCTGCAGCATGAGCTCTATCCCCGGCCGGCCAGGGAGCAACCCACATGTCACAGTAGACCTCTCCTGACTCGCCCGCTGCTCCTGTCAGCAGTGTATTTCAGTCAATCTGCCTGTTCTGTACCCCACTCTGTCTCTGGTGGGTCCTCTCATCCCCCACACTCTGGCCTGTACCCCAGTTCTTGTATGCATAAATAAATCAATCTTTAAAAAAAAAGATCATTTATTTACAAGAACCCAGCTCTTGTATGCATAAATAAATAAATCTTAAAAAAAAAAAAAGATCATTTATTTACAAGAACTGGAGTAAGGCCAGAGGTGTGGGGGGTGAGAGGATTCACCAGAGACAGAGTGGGGTACAGAACAGGCGGATCGCCTGAAATACACTGCTGAAGGGAGCAGTGGGCGAGTCAGGAGAGGTCTGCTGTGACATGTGGGAGCTCCTTGGGTGGGGATCGAACTCGCGCTGCGGAGGCTATGGATAGCTTCATAGGTTGTGTCTTAACCCCTTGCACCACCAGGGAGGCCCTGGAATCCCATTTTGATCTAGACACCTAATATTATTTTGACTGATATTTGCAATCATAATATCACTTTATTCACATCTACTACATAACATCAATTAATACATTAATTTATTTTGTGTAATTTGTTATGAAAATATTTCAATTTAGTAAAAATAAAGTTAAAATTGAATGCTTAAAAAAAAAAGGTCCAGACACTGTCCTTGGTTTTAGAAATAAAGGTATTATATTTTTTGCGTTGTTTACTGTATCAGTTTCCACTGGCCCAAGAATTCCTCAAAAATAGGAAATGGAATAAATACCTTTAGTACATCTGAGACCTAAAAGAAAGCTTTGAGAGGATTAGTGAATGAAGGAGAGAATTACAGAAAATAAATACAGACATGTAGGTAGGGGCCAGCATATGATATGATCACTTAAATTTAGTGAGAAGTATTAAAGATTTTTAAGTGGCAGACAGAAAGGATCAACTCTGAATTTTAAAAGGAAAAACCTGATGTAATGTGGAGAATGGTATCAGATGTGGGCAAGAATGGATATAATTTGAAGTTCTTAGAAAGTCTCAGATTTTGATATACCTCATTTTATGGCAAACTATTTGTTAAACGAACAAAAACATCAAAATGAATTCACACATTTTCCCTTACCACTTACTATAAAACATGGTAAACAGTAGCAGCAGCATCACCAACGTATATGCCCTTACTATTTAAGTTTTGCTCTCAAATACTATTAGCCTCTCAAAAGAATCAGGTCTCTGGAAATTTTAGCTGATTCCATGTCTTAAAGGAGAAAAAGTTTAAAGATCAGTCTGTAATAGCATTTTAACTTCTATGCATATATTAAGTTGTAATTAATATTATATGTTTAAGAAAAATTACTTTTCAAGCTTTTTTCAAAAAGATTTTAAAGTCCCTTTCTTAGATCTCAAAATTTCTTTCAGTCTGTTTACACATTTATTCCAAGAGGGAAATGTCTGTATTCATAGATATATGTAAACACAGATACAGATATAGATAGATACACACACACACATATATATATATATATATATATATATATATATATATATATGGAGAGAGAGAGAGGGAGAGAGAGAGAAACACAGATACAGATATCTATTTATCTATCTATAGATCTGAATAGCGAAATATCCCTAGACTTGGAGGATAGCTTGCTTTTTAGAGAAAAAACTATATAACATAATGGTCAATCTTATAAAATATGCTGTGCTTTATTAAATGCCAAAAAATAGGAAAAACATTTTAATCCCTTAGTATAAGTGGAAGAACATAATATATACTAGGAAGCATAAATACTTACATATTAAATACTTACATAGTAGAATCTCTTTCTTGAGACAGTATTGCCTCATGTGAAGCTAAAACAGCAGGAGACCTAGGATACAGTTCATAACCTTCACTCGGAGTGATTATCTGCCTACCTAGAATCCTTCAAAGTGAACAACATAAAGAGACAATTAAGCATCTTCAGCTGGCTCACATACAAAATCTAGAAATTCTGGGAACAAATTTGATGATTCTATATGGAAATCCACTAGCACTTAGTCTGATGCTGATTAAGAATGACTCCTGAGAGTAAATATGAATCCAGAGCCTTATCAGAGGCACTGGATAGAGATAAAGAAGGGAGATAAAAGATAAAGCTATAAACCCTATCACTCCTCCCCAAAAGCCCTAGGAAACTAAGCAAATATTTATAAACCAAAACGAAAAAAGAATCCTTGGACAGTCACCAGATTACAGCTACTGGTACAGAAATTGTTTTACTCTATTAGGATGACATATTAGTAGTCATGAAAACACCAAGAAACTTCCATCAACTTGAGTTTTCTCTTATCTGAAGCTTTATACCACAAGGCGTTATTTGCATTCATTAAAATCATGCCCATAGAGATTTCAGGGTACAAGGTTTTTTGAAATAATGCTTTTCAAATTTTAGTATCAGCCATAAATACAAGTGAACGCTAAGGATTTAGTACCTGAGGTGAGGAAAGCTGTGTGTCCATTGTTGGCACTCTTCTTGTAGACCCTTAGTATATACACTCAACTTCTGTTCATACAAGAGCTCGTCAATGGCTGTGAACATTGCTTGTACTTTTTCAGTGGCATTTTGATCAAGTTCCTAGAAGAAAATATCCCCCCAAAATATGTGTGAGATTAAATCAAAAAGCATAAAATTTCACAACAATTAGATTTTGTTTTGTTTTCAATATTTAGTCCATTTGAAATACTGAGTTTCCATGAAAGAAAAGTTAAATAAGTTTTCAGATCTAAGAATATTCAGATTTTTTTCTCTATTCCTATTTAAAGAAAATTTATAGATTTATTTACATATGTAAAGTAAGATGTTCTTCATCATAAAATTACTATTGGAGTCATTCTTTAAAAACAAAAACATGAAGAAAAAAATTATCAATAATTTTCACCATAATAGATAAAAATTGTTAATTTTAGTATAGTTGTTTGGTTCCGGTATTTTTAGTCCTTTATCTTTAAATATTACTGTGTAGTCTGCATTTTTCACTGAACAACTTTATGATATACCTGCCTTCTGTCATCTATCCTTTAGCAGTAGCCAAAGGGGTGGCTATAAAATGTGAATCTGATTTTATGTTATTTGATTCTCAGTTTATCCTCTACTTCATCCCTTATATTATATTCATCTATATACCCTCTATGTTATCTTCTACCTTTTACATTCTTGTGGAAGAAGTTATGGCTTATTTTGAACAAATAAGATGAGAATTAGGCATTTCACTCTAAGAATGAAACTCAGTTTCTACCCAAATAAAAAGAAAAGGACTTGCTAGGCAGATACAGGTTTTTATTTTATTTTAATTTTTTTATAAATATTTTTTAAAAAATTTTAACATTTATCATTTCTTACATTTTTTAGACAATATTTGCTTATCTCCACCCCCTCAGATTGAGTCCCCATAGAATTTCCTTCCCCAAAGGCACCCATGCACCATCACCACAGTCCCCGATACAGGTTAATTTAAAGATGCAACACAAATACATATAAAAATTGCTATTTCATATACTATTTATACCCATTTTTTAAAATTTTACAATATTAACATTCTCCTAGTTCCTAATAGCTTGATAATAGACTCAAAAACATTTTAAACAACGTAACATTAGTGGTGGGGAGATACTTTAGTGGACTGAGGGCAGCAACAGGAACTAATACCAAAGCCCAGATTCATTCTAACCTGTAACCATTTAAATCAGTACTAAGCTATAAGGATCAATTACTATATCCATAAAACAAAGCAAATATTTAAAGATACATTCAAATCCTAATTTCCAGAATAGACTCCTAAGACTCCATCAGAACAATAACATACAACTCACACCATATCCCCAGGAGAAGTCTGAGCTTCCTTCAGTAGAGATCCCTGTGCCTGTATAACTTGGAAAAGCAGACCTTGAATTCCCAGTGTCAGCTGATGTAAAAGGTGATTCTTGTGTGATGTCAGACTCACTAAATGCACAATTTGGAAGGAAAGAAAGCAGAAAAATGCTGATATTTTCTCAAGTCTCTGCAGCTCTCAAGTCTCAGCAGTTTATTAGTTGGTAAGCATATGTACAAATATTTCCATAGAGGCAAAAATAAATGAAAAGCTTGAAATTTATGCATCATGGAGAATGCCTGCTTAATTCCTCTAGAATTGATGGTAGTCATTTAAAATAATGCTAGTCATAGTTTACAAGGAATACTTTAATATTACCTATAATACACACATTTGACAAAGGTATTTCAGAAACATTAACATAGTATACCAACTTGTATTGCACTTTTATAATTTACCAACCACTTTTACAGATATTAGTGCCATTTTATCCTCACAACAACCTGGTGATATAAAACTAAACTTTTTAAAGAAAAAGAATAAGGTTTAGCTCTAGATTTTGAAAGTAGGTTTTACGATTTTAATTTTTCTTTTTTTAATTTTATTTTTTTATCAGTGTTCATTTTTAAACAATATTTGCTTCCCTCCACCCCTTCAGGTGTAGTTCCCGCAGAATTTCTTTCCCCAAGGCACCCGTGTACCATCACCACAGTCCCCTGTGCTCCTCCCTCCCTCCTCTTATCCCTCTCCCTCCTCCTTTAATTTTTCTTATCATACCACGTCGTTTCTCAGAAATCTCTTTGAAGTTAGTCTCTTCTTTTCTAAACCTTAAATAACATTGCACTAATATTTAGCCAGTATTTACTATATACTAAGCATTGTACCTAGTTTAATATATTTTGTCTCATTGATAGTCACAACATGCTTTAAGAGATAGTATTATTAGGAAAGTAAGTTGCCCCAATATTACACAGCTAATAACTGGCAAAACTAGAATTAAAAATTAGATCTATTTTGCACCTCCTTTTAAATAATTCATAATATTTTCAAAAAGCATGGTTTTCATTAGCTGTTCTAGAATGAGTCGAATGAAAATATTATAAAAATTCTTATTTCAACCCTATAACAAAAAGCAAAACCTTTGCCACTGTTAAGTGTAATAAGCAAGTAAGTACACTGAATATTATTACCTTTGGGAAGTTGTGTCTTTTTCATGGCTGTCATTGGTGGAGGAAATTTCATCCAGCTGCTCTGGAAGGGGATGATGATTAAGGGCATGTTTTGTTATTCCTTTCCTGTGAAAGAGTAAAACAAAGTTACAGTTTCTGTAAAGAAAAAAATATATACTTTTCAGTAACTTAATCTAGAAATTAGTTACCTACTTCTTGCTGTTCTGGAACTGCACTGTCCAATGTGGTAGCCACTAGTTGCTAGCAGTTGAAATTGTTCTTAGTATGGTTAATTGGATTGAGATAAACTTTATGTGTAAAACACACAGGATTTCAGAGTCATAATATAACAAGAAAGTACAATCTCATTATTTTGTATTATTTATATGTTAAAATAATGTTTTGGAAGATACTGGGTTAAACCAAGTATCACTGGTTAAACCAAATTCACTGGGTTAAACCAAATTTCACTGTAAATTTAAAATATAATAGAGGGGCCTCCTTGGTGGCCAAGGGGTTAAGCACAGCGCTACGAAGCAACCTGCAGCTTCTGCAGCAGTTCGATCCCTGGCCAGCCAGGGAGCAACCCACATGGCACAGCAGACCTCTCCTGTCTTGCCCACTGCTCCCCTCAGCAGTGTAGTTAAGTCAGCCTCCCTGTTCTGTTCCCCACTCTGTCTCTGGTGAATCCTCTCACCCTAGCACCTCTGGCCTGTACCCCAGCTCTTGTATGCATAATAAATCTTGTAAAAAAAATAAAATACAAAAATTTGTACACAAATGTTCACTGCAGCTTTATTTATAACTGGAAAAAACTGGAAACAATTGTAATGTTCCTTAATGGGTAAATTGTAAACTCTGGTATATCTACACAATGAAATATGACTCAGCAAAGAAAAGGACTTTTTGATTTGTGGATGAACTTCAAGGACATCTATAGAGGGATTAAGTAACCTGTTCGAAGTTATAGGCTAGTAAATGATGGAGCCAGGATTCAAATTCAAGCCTTCTCAGAGCAAATGAATTGTTTGAGATTTTAGTGAACTGTAACATTTTTATATATGAAGATAAATCCACAGGGAAGTCAGTGGAGTTTATTCTTTACTTGGTGGTGATGGATTTGTGCAGTTTTATCAGCATTTCTCTCATTTAGTGATCCTACATGTAAAGCTTGTTTTTGAGACAGTGGCAGGTATCAGAAATGTGGATTCCAGCTAAGTAATGGAAACTTGAAGACAGCTGTCAGTTTGACAAAGAAATGTGATTATGAAGTGACAGATAATACTAAGAATATATTAAATTTGATAATAGCATTGTAATTACATAAGAAAATTTCTATAATATCTAGAGATATAGTCTAAAGGATATAGAGTGAAATGATAGGGTCTTATTTCACAATGAGGGAAAGAGGCTAAACAGTTTAGTTGAAGCAAATATACTAAAATTCTGATAACTGTCAAATGTGGACATTGGATGGTTATTATATTATTCACTTCATTGTTTGAAATTCATCATTAAAAATGTTAAGCTGTTGAAAATCATTTTTTTCAAACTCTTTTTAGCATGTCATTTGGAGCTATTGGAGAGAAAACTAAAGTTACTTATACAAGCAAATTATTGTTATAATACCTAAAGTAAAATACTGCTTTTAATTTACTGTCATTTAGCTACATATACTCTTTATTATCTTCATTATTCACATCATACTAACTCCCCTAGACAATCATCTTTGGGAGTGTTGTCTCCAGGAAGTGTCACATAAATATAGAGAACAAGTAACATAAGTATACCGCGTCAATAATTTTGGCCCAGTAATTGCCTATCAATAATTTCTTCCATAAAAGATTTTTACTATCAAAATGATCAGAATTAGGGCCTCCCTGGTGGCTCAGTGGGTTGAGTGCCGCGCTGTGAAGCTGCCCATAGCCTCTGCAATGCGGGTTCCATTCCCCGCTGGCCAGGGAGAAACCCACATGGTGCAGCAGACCTCTCGTGCCTTGCCTGCTGCTCCCCTCAGCAGTGTCTTTGGTCTGTCTGCCTGTTCTGCTCCCCACTCTGTCTCTGGTGAATTCTCTCGCCCTCCCGCGTGCCTCTGACCTGTACCCCAGTTCTTGTATAAATAAATCTTTAAAAAAAATGATCAGAATTGGGCCTCCCCGGTGGCGCAGCGGTTGAGCGCTGGGTTGCAAAGCTGCCCGCAGCCTCTGCAGCACCGGTTCGATCCCTGGCTGCTCCCCGGCCACCGGAGGAGGGTCCCACATGGCGCGCAGACCTCTCCTGCCGCCCGCTGCTCCCCTCAGCAGTGTACTTCGGTCCTTCTGCCTGCTCTGCTCCCCGCTCTGACTCTGGTGAATTCTCTCACCCTCCCGCACTTCTGACTGTACCCAGTGCTTGCATAAATAAATAAATAAATAAATATTTAAAAAAAAAAAACTTAAAAAAAATGATCAGAATTAATTATAATATAAAAACAGATTTTTAGTTAAACCTTAGTTACTTTATTGGGAAATGATTTTCTTCTTCCTAGTTGCAAAGAAGTTATCTTAATTACTACTGTGTATATATACTATTACTTGGTAGAAAATAAACTTCTGAAAGGCAGGAAGAGATCATAGACTGATTTTCTCTGTATGGCATTAGTACTGTATCAAGGAAGACACAAGGAAACTGTGTCAAGACCTGTGCCATCATTTTAAGCAAGATTCTAGATAAGGTTTTACTCAATGATTTAGTAATCTGCTTAAAAGTCACAAGGTTAGAGGCCTCCCTGGTGGTGCAGGGGTTAAAGACACAGTGCTGTCAAGCTTTCACCAGCCACTGAAACATGAGTTCCATCCCTGACCAGGGAGATAACCCACATGGCGAAGCAGACCTCTCCTGTCTTGCCTACTGCTCCCCTCAGCAGTGTATTTCAGTATATCTGCCTGTTCTGTTCCCAAGTCTGTTGCTGGTGGATCTTCTCACCCCCCACACCTCTGGGCTACATCCCAGTTCTTGTATACATAAATAAATCTTGTAAAAAAAGTCACATGGTTAGAAAAGAGCCTACCCAGAAACCCAGACATGACTGAAAACATCTTTGTTATTGCCATGTATAGTTAACATTTAGTAAGTGTATGGTTGCTAAAATTACATAGCTTAGTGGAGAGGGAAAAAGGTATTTGGCATTAAAAAGTCCAAGCCCAAAACCCATTCATTATACAGCCTTAAGCTGTGTAACCTTTCTAATATATCATCTTTTGGAAAGTGGAAGACAATCATCCCATCTTACAAGGTTGTTACAAGGACCAAGAAGCGAAAGTCTTTTTGAAAGTGTAAAGCATTAATAAATGGACATTGCCATTACTTGCTTAATTACACTTCATCAGGGTAGAACAAGTCAGAAATATTCTCTTAAGTTTCAAATGCAAAAGGGATCCTTCAGGATTCTGATGCTTAATTGTCAGAGGTGAGTAGACAGTATGTTTAATGGCTGTGACCACGAATTCCGAATCAGATTGACGCCAGGTTTGTAATTCAGCTCCACCACTTTCTCCCTAATCTTTGACATGCTATATATTATCTTTAAATATGGTTTATCTGTCGAATGTGCAGAAGTCCCCTCTTTTATCCTTGTTGACAGGATTAAGTGATCTAATGCATGTAAACTGCTTTGCACGGCGCCTAGCACTAGATGTACTCAAGTTTATTGTATTACTCAATCACCTATTAATAACTTCTCGAGTCTTCACTGGCCATTGACAGGGCATGAAGAACTGCGGAAACTACAAATGCCTTAGAAGACCTAGTCCCTGAGTTCAGGAATTGCAGCCCAAAAGGGCTTGCGCTAAGAGAGCACAGGTGACACACCCTCAGCTAGAGATGGAAGTAGAAAAGGCAGCGTCCAGCAAGGCTGGAAAAAGAATTCTGAAGAAGAAAAAAAAAAATTTCCCCGCCCTTGGAAAGGAAAGGAGTGAAGGGCTGAGCAAGGAGGGTCCCCTGAGGTCCCGCGGTCCGCCTCGGCCTCCCCGGGCCCCGGCTGGGGTGGCTGAGCAGTCCACTCACAGCTCCGAGCTCTGTGGCACCGCCTTCCGGGTGTATCTGGAAATCATCCTCCACTTCCTCCTCAGCCGCGGCCGGGGTGGGCACGCCAGGGCCGGGGCCTCCGGGCCTGGCCCTCCCGCTGGCTCCGGCCCGGCCCCCTCCCGCCACCTTCAGGCCCCGTCACGCCCCGTCTCCTAGACTCCCTCCCGCCACCTCCCCGGGGTCCCCACCACTCCAGTCCTTTACCCTCCCGGCTTCCCAGCGGGAGCGGAAGTGGCGAAATCACCGGGAGCCCCGGCTCAATGCTCCCGCGGAAGCACAGCAGGACCACGCCGGGAGTTCCGCGGCCGAGTGATTATCAACGTTTACCTCAAGTCTTCCGCAGGCCTGAGGTCCAGACCCGGGTCTGGCTAGCGGCAAGGCCAGACATTGGCGAAGATTGACTGCTTTTGACAGTTCCCACACTGGGAGGGGCGGCCGAGGAGAGGTGCAGTAACTGAGACGTGCTGGAAAGGCCCTACAACGGTAAGCGGAAGTGGCTTCATTTTGTCAGGTGGGAGGGAGCATAATCTAAGAGCACTAGACTCCAAATGTGACCGTTACTGTACGTTCGTTTTTTCTTTCATTGCTCTGGTTTTCTCATCTGTACAGTGAGGACGTGAGTGATTTCAAAGTCCCTTTCAATTCTGACACTAAAGTCTTCAAATAAGGTGTGTCTAGCATTACGGCCTGGGTGGTAGAATTGTCTGGTCCTCTGGGTTGAAAGGCGACATAATGATGTGGACAGACCATGGTGAGTTAAGAGGCTGGATAGAAGATGCAGATTCCTCTGGACCTTGTTTTATTATTCCATCAGAAATCTGAGTGCAGTGCCTTCCTTTAGCAAGCCTCATCTGGCAATAGTAAGCTAGTACTCTACCGTCTAAAGAGATCTCTATCCCTGTTAGTATACTCACGTTACATCACCCGAGACATGAAAAGGGGCCAAATTTAGGATACATACTTGTAGATGGAGAACTATGGGCATATTATTGAATATTTGTGGGTGAGATAATAGGACATGAGTGCCTTGTAATTCTCTTTGTGCCTCGCAATGTACATAAAAGGGAGAGACTTAAATTCTGTAGAGTAAGGAAGATTGCTCTTGAGTATTTAAATAATAAAAATTTAAACTGGGGAAGGATTTTAGAATGAGAGAGTAAATTTCTTATTCTAGAATTAAGGAAAAAACCCCAGAAAGAGAAACTGAAGCATCCAAAGTGACACATCTGATTGGTGGTAGAATTGGAACTTTTGGTATATTTGAACAGATGTTGCAGTTTCTGAAAGTGTGTTACACCACTGCTATTACAAGGGCAACCATTTTTTTATTTTACTCTCAAATACTTTGTAGTTAATTTTGGAATGTGTTATTGCACTGTATTATATCAAAAGTTCCTTCGGGGTCTCTCTCCCTGGTGGTGTGAAGGATTAAGTCTCAGCACTATTAACCATCGCCAGCCACTGCAGCACGAGTTCGAGCCCCAGCCAGGGAGGTGACCCACATGGCACAGCAGACTGCTTCTGTCTTGGGCTGCTCCCCTCAGCAGTGTGTTTCAGTCAGTCCACCTGTTCTGCACCCCACTCTGGCTCTGGTGAATCCTCTCACACCAACATCCTCCCCACCTCTGGCCTACAACCCCAGCTCTTGTATGCATAAAAAATAAATCTCTAAAAAAAAAGTTCCTTCAACAACTTTAAGTATAAAGAGCATGATTTGAAGTATAAAAATGCCATTAGAAGAGTATTGAGTATTAAACATTACTATAGTTGATACAAGGTCAAGGGAAAAACCATGATAGTATGTAGATAATTAAACTTTGAAAAACAATATTACCAAGAATGATTCAGGGAATGAATATTCTACATTATTCTATATGATTTATATTATTGAAACTTTAAATGTATTTTTTCAAGAATGGAGAAAAATATGAAGCTTGCTACAGTGGAAGAAACTGTGGAATACCAACTGTTTCTGATACCAGATGAACCAAGAAACCCAGAAAAACATGAAAAGATTCTTCAGATGTATATTGAGAGAATAATGACCCAGTTTGCACCTATGCTGGCCCCCTATATTTGGCAGAATCAGCCTTTCAACCTCAAATATAAACCTGGGAAAGGTAAACTCTTTTAGTTATTTTTTTTTTCTTAAGATTTATTTTTTATTTATACAAGAATGGGGGACAGGCCAGATGTGCGGGAGGGTGAGACGATTCACCAGAGACAGAGTGGGGAACAGAATAGGCAGACTGATGAAATACACTGCTGAGGGGAGCAGTGGGCGAGACAGGAGAGGTCTGCTCGCCATGTGGGTTGCTCCAAGGCCAGCGGGGATCGAACCGGCACTGCAGAAGTTGTGGATAGCATCACAACACTGGGCTCAACCGCCTGCACCACCAGGGAGGCCCCTCTTTTAGTTATTTTTCACTTGATATGTATGACCTTTAATGTCATTCTAACAGCAGTGGTGTACATTAGTCCATAGATAATTTATGTTGCCTGGTTTATGTCTTGAACTTTTAAATTTTTTTTTTAAAGATTTATTTATTTATTTATTTATATAAGCACAGGGTACAGTCAGAAGTGCGGGAGGGTGAGAGAATTCTCCAGAGCCAGAGCGAGGAGCAGAACAGACAGACTGACGAAATACACTGCTGAGGGGAGCGGCGGCAGGAGAGGTCTGCGCGCCACATGGGACCCTCACCTGGTGGCCAGCAATCGAACCGGTGCTGCAGAGGCCGCGGGCAGCTTTGCAACCCAGCGCTCAACCGCTGCGCCACCGGGGAGGCCCTGTCTTGAACTTTTTAGATTAGTGATGCTTGCCTGTATTCAGTTAAGCCCTTAACTTAAAAAAAAAATTAATTCATATTGATGACAATTTTCTAATCGTCATTACCTAGGAAATAACATATACTCATTGTTATTAAGCCATGGCTATTCTTTTTTTAAGATTTATTTATTTATGCATACAAGAGCTGGGGTTCAGGCCAGAGATGCAGGGGGTGAGAGGATTCACCAGAGACAGAGCAGGGAACAGAACAGGCAGATTGATCGAAGTACACTGCTGAGAGGAGCAGCGGACGAGCGGACGAGCCAGGAGAGGTCTGCTTTGCCATGTGGATTTCTCCCTGGCCGGTCAGGGATCGAACCCGTGCTGCACAGGCTGTGCATGAGTGCTTCACAGAGCGGTGCTTAACCCCTTGCACCACCAGGGAGGCCAAAGCATGGCTATTCTTTTGAAATTTAATTTCTTCACTATGCCATAAAGTATCTGGGTACCTATACTAAACAGGTTGAGGCATCTGGCTTCCTTAGTCATAGTTCCTTTTGCTATTACTGTTTCCTCACTCTTGATTATATGTTGGATAGGCTGCCCGTTTCACATAGTTGTTTTGGTAAGTATCCAAAAGTGGTCTGCCTAACTTATAAAGAGGAACAATTGGACTCTATCACCATTATTTGCCACTCAGAAGCATTTTGAAGTTCCTTCCCTGCTTCTCTGTGTTGTCAGTGCTTGGTATATGATGTCCAACCAAATACGGCACTGTGTTCTGACATCTCTTATAGCTTAATAAAATGAATCATGGCTAGGTAACCAAGGCTTTATTCATGCATTGAGGTCTTGTTGCAGATAAGGAGCCTGGCATCTTGTCATACCATCCATCTGGTTCTCAATTTAGTGTTTATCTCTTATATTTTAGCTTGCAGTTGCCGGATGTCTTCCCAACTGTTAGTTTTATTGAATGCTTGTTCACTGAAACACATGTGATTTTTTTTGGCAAGAACACTGTCACATTAGCACAGCACATCCAAAATCAACTCCTTATTTTTTTCTAGAAAATTATTTTTTACCTAGTTTTTTCTTCATCTTGCTTTATGGCATTGCTATCCACCTAATTAGCCTAGCTGGTTAGTAAGTCAAAATCATACTCAACTTCTCCCTTCACCATATTTAGTTAGGTGCTAAATCCTAGTGTGATTACTCCTAATATATAACCCTTTCCTTACATCTGTTTGACTACAGTCTAAGCTCTCTTCATCTGAAAAAATACAACAAGCTCCTAAACTCTGTTTCCAGTGTCTGCTTTTCTTGACACTGTTGCCAGTTACCTTTGTAAACACAAATTTGATCATGTCAGTTCCCTGCCTAGTATCTTTAAACATTTCCTGGTTGCTTCCGGATGAAGTTCAGATTGAAGTTTAACATATAAGGCAAAAAAAGAGACACGAATTGGAGATTTTCTAGTTGAAGGAACTTGGAAGATCTGGGGGTAGAGAGAGGAGTTGGGTGAGTTCTTTTTCCCACCTGTTTTTTGCATTTGAGATACTTGAGTGCATTTGTTTGCTTTTCATTTTATAAATGTGGTATATTACATTGATTAATGTTTGTGTGTTGAAACTGTCCTTGCATTCTAGGAATAATCCCCATTCTAGAGATAACCCTTTTAATGTGCTGTTGAATTCCATTTGCTAGTATTTTATTGAGGATTTCTGCATCAGTGTTCATCAGGGATTTGGTCTATAGTTTTCTTGTTTGTTTTGGCTTTGGTATTAGGATAATGCTGACCTCATTAAATGAATTTGGGAGTGTTACCTTCAAATTTTTTGTAAGCATTTGAGGCATATTGTTGCTAATGTTTGATAGAATTCTCTAATGACATCATCTGGACATTTGTTTGTTGGGAAGTTCTTGATTACTGGATTTAATTTTCTTTTTAGTTAATGGTTTATTCAGATTTTTTTTTTCACGATCCGCTCTTGATTGGTTTTGTGTTTCTAGTAATTTACTCATTTCTTCTAGGTTATCCAATTTGTTGTATGATTGTTTATAGTATTCTGCTAGAGTACTTTTTATTTCTGTAGTATAATTTGTAATATCCCCTCTTTCATTTCTGATTATTTGAGTCTTCTCTTTTTTCTTAGTTAATTGAAATATTTTTTCAATTGTGTTGGTCAATTGTGTTGGTTCTTCTTTTTCTAGTTCCATGCGTTTTAGTTTTAGTCTTATTTTTGTTCTTACCTGTCTCAAGATATCTTTTAAGTCCCTTGTTATTTATCTTTGACCCATTGGTTGTTTAAGAGTATCTGGTTTAATTTCCCCATATTTTTGGACAATGTTTGCACTTGAAAATTACTCCCAGAATGCTCAATTGTCTGTCATTCCAGTGTGCCTTTACACATTTTTCTTTTTTTCTATTTTTCTTTCTATTTCTTTTTCAGAAGCCTACTCCTCATCATTACTCTGCATCAGTGTAGTTCCAATATCATATCCTTTATGATCACATAGCCTTGAGTGTCTACCTCTGTTCATCATCTTGCTTTAAGATGGCTTGGTTGTCTATCTCTTGTTCTCTAGAACTTCAAGAAGAGTAGGTTTCTTGTATCTTTTTCAAGATTGCAACCTCAGTTCCTAGTATAGTGATTAGAGCATAGCCAGTGAATGTTTGTTTAACTAAATGATAACTTATATTTTTATTTCCACTGACAAATTTATTTTGTTTTTCTCTTGTTTTTAGGAGATGTTCCTGCTCATATGTTTGGCATTACAAAGTTTGGAGATAACATTGAGGATGAATGGTTTATTGTTTATATAGTAATGCAAATTACAAAGGAATTTCCGGAGTTAGTAGCAAGGTATTATAGTTTTTTAATAATTCTAAAACAATTCTGTTGAAACTGCCTACATTTTTTATTGATTTAGTATATTTTTTCCTGTAGTCTAGTGGAAATTGTACAAATTTGGGACACACATTTTATTTAATTAATTTATTTAAACAATAATGATAGTAACTTTTATTTTTTAAATTTTTTGTTTATATTAATTTTTTTATTTTTTTACATCATTGTTCATTTTTAAACAATATTTACTTCCCCCCACCCCCTCAGGTATAGTCCCCATAGAGTTTCCTTCACCAATGCACCCGTGCACCATCACCTCAGTCCCCTGTGTTCCTCCCTCCCTCCCTCCCTCTGATCCCTCTCCCTCCTCCTCCCCTGCAGTAGGGACATAGATTTTAAAAGTGACTTCTGTGCCTAATTGTGACTTCCTTTTCTTGAGGAAGATTTGAAGTGTCATTAGAGAGTTCAGCTTCTGAAATATTTCAAGCAAAACCTGCTTAATTTAGGTTTTTAAATTCTCATTATAAGAGAACAAATATTCATGACAAGCAAAATACAAATAATACAAAAGGATATACTGCTCTGACTTCCTAGAAATAGTCACCATTATATGTCTTGTGGATCTTAAAAAATGTTTATTTTGCATAACCCATGTGAAAAAGACCAGAGACAAAAGTATTGGCAAGGATATGGAGAAAAAAGAACCCTCATTCACTATCAGTGGGACTGTACACTCTTTCATCTCCTATAGAAACAGTACAGATGTTTCTAAAAATAGATGTACCATATGATCCAGGAAATCCACTGCTAGGTGTCTTCCCAAAGAATGCAAAAAAAACACTAATTTGAAGGTATGTATGCACTCTTATGTTCGTTGCAGGGATATTTACAATAGTCAAGTTATGGAAACAACCTAAATGCCATAAGGTAAATGAATGGAATTGGAAATGGTATCAACATACAATGAAATACTACTCAGCTATTAAAAAAAAAAGATAAACTCTTGCCATTTGTCACAATGTAGATGGAAGTAGAAATAAGTTAGAAGGGGAAAGACAATTAGTGCATGGTTTCACTTATGTGTGAATAGAGACACACAAAGGGTCAGATAAAATAACCAATAACAAACCCTGTCAATAGAAATTTGTCAATAGAATTGAAGCTACCAGAGAGGAGGGAGGAGAAGGGAAAGCAAAGTGGGTAGGGAGCACAATGAACTGTGGTAGAGGTCTATGGCTGCCTTGGTGGTATGTGTGATGTGGTAACATACTTCTGAAGGATGTGATCCTATACCTCTAAATCATAATACAGTGTTGTAAACCAGTGTTACCTCAATTAAAAAAAATCTGTTCATGCATACATATACATATATTCTGTATTTCACAGATTTCATTACTATCTTCTCTGTATTAGGTTATAGCTATCATATGGTATAATCATATACAGAAGAAATTTAAAGAGAAAGTTCTTAGAAAGGAAAGTAGATAGTTGCATTCTTACTCAGCTTTTTAAAACAGTAACTAAGTTCTCTGTAATTACCCAGTTATAGCATCAGAGGGCATCTCATCCACTTAACCACATTGACCTGATTTTCCTATTCAGCCCCCATTTCTCTTTTTTTACCCATCAGCTTCTTCTCCTACAGAACAAAAAGAAAAACAATAACTTTGAAAGAATATTATTATATTGAAATTCAAATATATATAAAAATATACGTAAAACGAACTGTACCCATCACCCATTTTCAAATATTAACTCATAGTCATCCTTATTTTATCTATACCCTTACCCTGTTCTCTGTCCACATAGCAAGATTATTTTATTTAAGCAAATCTCCATTATTGTGACATTTGATCTTAGGAAGTAAACCTAAGGATAAGAACTATTATTTTAAACACTACTGTTACCATATCTAAAAATAATTAGCAATCTTTTCCTAATAATTGATAGAATTTTAAACAAGGAAACACAAAGATACTAGTTTCTGTCTTTATAAGGATAATTAGGGGGTAAAACCTTTTGTGTGTGGATTTTGATATTTTTATAATGACAGTTAATACCTACAAACAAGGCCTATGAAGCTCTTTAAATAATAGGCAACTACTCTCTTATTAGTTTTTAAAATAACCATTAGAAAAAGAAAGAAGCTTGTTCTCTGTCTCTGCCAGATTAATCTTTCTAAGGTAGGGCTTACTACTCCACAGTCTTTCATTCTTTTTGTCTATAAAACTAAGCTTTTTCTCATTGATTCTGCCAATATTTAAAGCTCTTCACAACTGTTTTTTTAAATCTTGTTCTTTACTGGTTGTTGTCCTCCAAATATCAATCTTAAGTTGCCACCTCGGTGGTTTTTCCTTGTACTGTTCCCTCTTCCAAGAATATCACTGCTTTCTACACATTAAAAGTGTATGAAATATACACCAAGAACAATGTATAAAATATACTATTTGTGTGACAAGAGGGAAAAATAAGTGTTTATATGCTCATTAGCTAAATTAGACATGCATTCTAGAAGGATAAGCAAGAAATAATGATAGAGTGGAAGGAGTTGGACATATAGGGATGAAAGTGGGAAGGAGACTTTTTCATTGTGCACTTTATGTGACCCAATTACCTATTCAGAAATTTGAATTTTAGAAAGAGATGTAAATAAGGGAAAACAATTATCCTTCAAGGCATAGCTAGCATCTACTCCATAAAGACTGTTCTAATCTTGGCTAGAGATTATGTTTTTTTCTTCTTTTAAAACTCGGTAGTACTTTGTATATTTTCTCATATTTTTGCTATTATTTATGTATTTACTCTCTTTCCTTCTTAATGGTTTCTTTCAGTACTTATTGGTATCATTTTGCTTTATTACAGATAGTACATACTCAGATATTTACTGAAGTAAAAAACAATGTATTACAGTAAATCCATTTTGATTGTTAGAAAATATGTTCTTTTAAATGCAAAATTGAAACTCCTTTTGTGTTAGGATTGAAGATAATGATGGGGAATTCTTGTTAATAGAAGCTGCTGACTTTCTCCCTAAATGGTTGGATCCTGATAATAGTGCCAATAGGGTAAGTATACCAAAATTTGGAAAGTTTACATACTTGAAATCAGGTCACAGCATTTTTCATCTGTACCTGAAGTTTGTCAGTACCTAGTATGAAAATTTGAATGTTATCATTTTGCAGGTATTTTTCCACCATGGGGAGTTGTTTATTATTCCTATACCTAGGAAAGCAGAAACAGTATCTTGGTTACCCACCACACCCTTAACAATCCCACAAGCATTGAATATAATCTCAACACACCCAGAAAAGATTTTGGCTTCAGAATCTATACGAGCTGTTGTGCATAGGCGTATCAGAGGGTAAGAAAAATGACACTTTCATTATTTATTGAGGAGCCTTTTGATTTAGGGCAACTCAAGTCTTTCATTGAATATAGAATTTCTTTTTCGTAGATTAATGCTAATTTTCATTGTCTTCATCCTGCTTGAAATTTACTAACAAAAAATTTACTAACAAATTAGACAACATTTTAAAATCAAGAAACAAATACATCTTTTAATTCAAAAATATTCTAATTCAATCCCAATATTTTCACATTTATTTATCTTGTCTATTGTAGGTAAGTATTACTTATATCCACAGATAAAAATTTTGAAACCTTTGAGAATGAAAATCTAAGGGAGCACAATGTACTCAGATTTACTATGTGGTTCTGGAGCACTATAGAAAATTCTTTGACTTTGGTAGGATGATTTAGGTTCTATTTAGAAGAGAAAGTCTTAGCTTTATAACATTGGTTCAGCCATTCAAATTTGACTGTTAAATGTTTAGCGCCATTGATCTTAACAATATTAAAAATGTCTTTTAGCTTTGTTTCAATATATTTGCTTGATTTTTTTAGAAGAATAAACTGATTTTATACTTGTCCCAAAATATAGTGGGGCTTTTCTTTTCCTTTTATAGAACCACCTTTTCTCTTCCCCTCATCTTTCCTAAATCTTTCATGTGTACAGAATCTTAAACTTAATCTTGTCACTCACTCTTTACATCTCACTCTTAAATGAACCAAGACAATGTTAAAGGGGAACTAAATGGTATAAGAATTCTATATATTTGAATATCATAAAATATAAGTATTTGTTATCTGTCGCAGATATCCAGAAAAAATCCAAGCCTCCCTTCATCGAGCACACTGCTTCCTTCCAGCTGGCATTGTAACTGTACTGAAGCAGCGCCCCAGATTAGTGGCTGCAGCAGTTCAGGCATTTTACCTACGTGATCCTATTGACCTGCGAGCCTGTCGTATTTTCAAGACATTCTTGCCTGAAACACGAATAATGGCATCGGTAAGATAGCTCTCTTGGTTAGTTTCTTTTGCTGAAAAAAGAGTTGAATATTATTTTATTTTTATTTTTTTTGAAGATTTATTCATTTATACAAGAACCGGGGTAAAGGCCAGATGCGCAGGAGGGTGAGAGGATTCACCAGAGACAGAGTGGGTAACAGAACAGGCAGACTGATGAAATACAGCAGCGGGAGAGACAGGAGAGGTCCACTCGCCATACGGGTTGCTCCAAGGGCGGCAGGGATTGAATCGGCACCGCAGAGGCTGCAGACATCTTTACAGCGCTGTGCTCAACCACCTGCGCCACCAGGGAGGCCCTGAATATTATTTTAATTGTTCACTGAAAAAGTTGCAAACATTCTGTTTTCTCCTAGCAAATTAATACACAATTTTTTCCTTCCATTCAGTGGAGAAATATTTCAAGAGATCTGATTCCCTGTTTTGTATCTCAGTGTTTCCTAGCCATAAGTGATCATATTTTCCTTATTCAAATAATTATTTCCTTCTTAACAAAAAACATATTATCTCTTCCTGAGAATTAACAATTATTCTTTATCTTCTATTCACCAAAATTGCCACATAATGTAACTAGTGATAAGAATCCCATTAGTGATAACTACATAGTAAGTAGACAGTGGAGGTAAATTTTGTGATATGTGAAATTATATTTCAATAAAGGTGTACCTAACAATATAAATAGTGAAAAGGTTAGATGTTCTTTGTATTGCATGTGAATATAAAGCTCATAAATGGAGTTGTTTATTACTATGAAATTATATTCAAAATTTTTATTTCAGGAATAGATTCATGTTTTTATGTCCCAATGTCTAGGTCACTTTCACAAAATGTCTGTATGCACAGTTGGTGCAACAAAGATTTGTGCCAGATCGGCGGAGTGGATACAGTCTTCCTCCTCCATCTCATCCCCAATACCGGGCTCATGAATTGGGCATGAAATTGGTAATGTTGAACCAGGAAGTTTTATTTTCTTCTTTTATGTAAAAGGATCCTTAATAGAAGAATGGCACAGCATCGAAAGTTTAGAAACGTACCCTACTCGTGGAAATGTAGTAAAGTGTGACTTTTCAAATAATAAGAAAAAAATGGATTATTCAACCAGAATGGTTGTGAGGCCTTCTGAAAAATTAAAGTTGATTCCCTCATGACTTTACCAAAATAAAACCCAGTTGGACCAAATATTTAAATGAAAAAAAGAAATCATAACATGTGAGAGAAATAGAGGAGAACTCATCTGGTTTGGAAAGGCCTTTCTAAGAATTACTTGAAACCACAAGCTATAGAAGAAAGATTAATACATTTGTTTATGTAAAAATTATGCATTTCTGTGTAGGAAAGAAACACTCTACAAATAAAGTCAAAGAATAGTAAACCTGGAGAAAGTATTATATTTGCAATCCTACTAGTAAAGAGCTAAATCCCTAATATTTTCCCACAGGTCAGTAAAATGAGAAAAATAGTACTAATCAATTAACAAACAATGTTTAGAAACCATGATCATATAACCCACAGAGAAAGAAATGCAATTGATTCTTAATTTAAACATGAAAAATAATGATCCTTGGTCATAGTTAAAGAAAGGCAATTTAAAACTACAAAATAGCATTTTTTTTTTTTACTATTTTATTGTCAAATATCAAAAAGTTTAATAAAAAAGTATACTAGATTTATGGAAATATGTAAAGAGACATTAGTAGTAACATAAATTGATTCAGTTATTACAGCAATTTGTCCGTCAATGTTTAAAATGCACAAACACCTCTCAGCATTTCCACTTCTAAACATTTTTCCTCTATGTGTTTCACATGCCATGTGAGGATCTTCATGACAACATAGGTCACTTTCACAAAATGTCTGTATGCACAGTTGGTAATTCTTCGAAAGGCCTTTACAACACAGTTTGTAGTAGCAAAACTACCTAAATGTTCATTAGTAGAGAAATAGATAATTTGTGATTTATTCATGAAGTGAGAGAGAGAAATTGGTATGTACACATGTGAAATATTCTCTAAGGTATATGGCTCATGAAAAAGCAAAGTGCCTAACAGTGTATGTGTATGCTGCCATTTAGTGACAAAAGGGATGAAGTAGCAGGGTATACATACACAGATACATATATGTCTTTTTGAGTGCATCGATTACCTCTGGAAGGATATACAGACTAATGCAAGTTTCCTCTAGGGTAATTAAAGAGTTTCCCTTGTTGAATTATTTTGTCATGTGCATTTATTATATTTCTTAATCGAACTCTAAAAATGAAGTGATTTCCTTTTCTTTACTGAGATCATCCTCAATTCACTTATAAGAAGAAATTTTTGATTTTGTAATCAGCAGGAAAATCTTTTTGAAGACTACAAGAATTTGCTTTTTATTGTTTGCTTTCCCTTTTTTATTTTTAGTAACCTATTGAAATTGAGAAACTTGTCAATAAAGTCAGATTTTTTTATAAAATTCAAATGTATTATAACTCTCTATAGACCCATGTATCCAATCATGTAGTTCTTGAGCTTGGTTAAGTAGAAAGAAAGTTAACTTAATAATAAAAATTCTATATATTCCATCTAGGCTCACGGATTTGAGATCTTATGCTCCAAATGTAGCCCACATTTTTCTGACTCCAAAAAATCCCTTATGACTACCTCTCCACTCTGGACTGGCTTCCTTGAAAGTCTGAAAAAAAATGATTATTTTAAGGTAGGATTTGCAATGCATTTTTGGTGTAAAAAAATGGTGTAATCCAGGGAGAATAATGCTAGTGTTTTAAAATCCTATGGTACATATTTAACGTATAACAAAATATTTGAAGCTAGAGTTAAAGAAGGGACCATTCCAGTTCAGTGGTAATGAGGGGATGTCTATGAATTGTTTTCAGTATTTTAGAAAATGTATAACGTTTCCATAAAGTGATGAAAGTTATTATTTGTATGATATGATGAACAACTTGCATAAATCTATGAAACAAACATGAAGACAACTAATAGAAAAATTAGCAGACATGGATTTTAAAAATTACAAAAAGACAGCTAGTAAATACCTCTTAAAATATTCACTTTAATAATAGTACAGATATGCATAATGAACACAATGATACTGTTTTTTACATATGTAAAAAAAGCATACGAATGATGTCCAGTACTGTTGAAAGTATAGTGAAATTAATACTCCTGTACATTACTGATAACATTGTAAATTGGTCGGGCCTTAATTGTAGGTAGTGTGTTCTAAGAGCTATAGAAAGGTTCAAATTCAGAAACTTCACTCTGAATAATCCCATGTGAAAGAAACATCCAAGAAGTAGAAAAGTCCATAAAAATAAGCTTCACACAGCAGCTATACAAGTTCACAGCCACCACAATCTCTGGCAATTTATGAAAATCAAATGTACAGTCTTAAAATAGAATGTGGACCCAAATGCCCAAAGGCACTTCCCTTTACCCCAATATGATTTGTAACAAAAATCAGTGTGAATGGGGTTGATAGTGCTAATGGAGTGGTGAACCCAAGCGATACCAGTGCTAAGAAAATATCAGAATTTGTACAATTATCAAAGTGGTCCTGCAAGAGCTTAACACCTAATGATATCTAAAGAAAATATGAAATTCCCTCAGCTCTCTGAAGGACAGTGTTATAGCAGTTAATCAAAAGAAAACCTACAGGCTCTCCTCTCCCACATTGTATTTAAGCAGTCTTCATTTTCTACAGTAGTAAATTTTTAGAAGTAGACTCAAAGCATCTTGGAGACCTTTATAGTCTTATAGTCTGAAAAAGTAGTTCCCATTCAAAAGCAGTTTATCTTAAGATGCTGTAAATAATACTGGTTTTTTAAAATCCACTTGAAATATGTGTTGTGCTCGGACAATTATAAATCAGAGATATACTGCAGGGGAAGAGGAGGAACAGGGATCAGAGGAAGAGGGGGCGGGAGGGAGGGAGAAGCGGAGGGGACTGAGATGATGGTGCACGGTTGCATTGGTGAAGGAAACTCTATGGGGACTACACCTGAGGGGGTGGGGGGAAGAAAATATTGTTTAAAAATGAAAAATGATGTAAAAATTTTAGAAAAAATTTAAAAAGATAAAAAATAAATAAAGTCAAGCCAGAAAGGAAAAAAAAAAAAGAGAAAAAAAAAAAGAAATATGAGTTGTGCTATAAAAAAGAAGTAAGGGCCTCCCCAGTGGCGCAGCAGTCGAGTGCTAGGTTGCGAAGCTGCCTGCAGCCTCTGCAGCGCCAGTTCAATCCCTGGCCACCGGGCGAGGGTCCCACATGGTGTGCAGGCCTCTCCTGCCGCCCGCTGTTCCCCTCGGCAGTGTACTTCGCCACTCTGCCTGTTCTACTCTCAGCTCTGTCTCTGGTGAATTCTCTCACCCTCCCGCACCTCTGACTATACCCAATGCTTGTATAAATAAATAAATAAATCTTAAAAAAAAAAAAAGGAAGTAAATGCTATTTAGCAAGGATTTATAATACATATATATATATGTATATATATATATAGTACAGCTGACCTTTGAAAAACACAAGAGATAGTGGTGCTGACCCCCTTTGCATGAAAATCCACATAAAATTTTGGCTTCCCCAAATCTTTACTAATAGCTTGGTGTTGACCGGAGCCTTCCCAGTAAAATAGTTAATATATGTTATATATATTATATATTGAATGTTTACAATACTTTAAGCTGGAGAAAAAAAATCACAAGTAGATCATCATAAAGGTTTTCATCCTCATCAACTTCACATTGAGTGGGCTAAGGAAGAGCAGAATTGAAGGAAATCTGTATTTAAACAAACGTTCAACATTTAAACCTGTGTTGTTCAAGTGTCAACTGTGTATTTTTTAAAGAAAGTAAAATAGTAAGAATGCCACCTACCATAAAAATGTATGTGAAAAGCAGAAAAGATAGTTAAGATTGGGATTATGTTTTTTTTTTTAATTTGTTTTATTTATACCATATTTTGTAAATTGATTACTGGCTAATCAATTATTTCTTAATAACTAATTACATAACAGAAAATGGTAGAAACATTTATAAGTTGGAAAGAAGTCTTTAATGGTGAAAAGGATTAAGAAGCACTATGTCTTGTCTACTCTCCTTATTTAAGGAAACTGAAGCCCAAACTAGTACATTCATGACAAAACAGGGACTCTGACTCAAGATTCATGATTCCTGAATAACATATCATACACTGCTTCCCTGAAAGTTTCTGGTGGGACAGTTGTTTTAATGATATCATATAAATAATGTTCTGATAAGCCATTGTTATTTTTTAGGGACTGATAGAAGGTTCTACTCAGTACCAGGAAAGGCTAGAAATGGCAAAGAACTACTTCCAAATCTCAGTAAATCAACCAGAAAGGTGAGTTTACTGCTACCAAAACATAGCAGCAGAGTGGTAACTTTCCAGAAGTTAAGGAGTTATTTACTCTTGAGGTAGTTGGAGAAGTTGGAGTTTGTATATTTAAATAGTCGGGGGCAAGGATCGTAACTACTGATGGGGCTGGGATGGGAGAGAGGAGGTATTGCTACAGAAGATTGCTGGCACTGGCAGTTATTATCATCATCCAGTGGGTAACATTTTTAGAGTATTACAAAGTGTCAGCCATTTTACTTGCTTAATCTCTCTTATATTCTTGTGAAATAAGTATAAGTGTGATTATTATTGTTCCCTATTTACAGTTGAGAAGCTGAGGCCAAGACCAATTAAGTAATTGTCAGTGGTCACGCAACTAATAAGTACCAGACAAAGGACTTGAACTCTAGCAGTCTGGTATTGATCCATCTCCTTAATTTCTTAGAGGAGTTTTGAATTTGTTTGGCTAGCTTGGGTGAATCTGAAACACAGGCTGAAGCAAACATTCAGTTTCTAAATCAAATTTAATTCTCAACTCCTGTAGATTATACTAGGGGAAGAAAGAAACAAACACAGGTTGGAAGGAAAGGTACCCTTTTAAAATTTAATGAAGTTGAGTTTCAGTTCTGGTAATGGTGGAATAGCATTGAACTAACTATGCCAATTATGATTATAAACCTTGGATAAAGTATTAAAAAATAGTTCTTTAAAGACTCTGGAGAACAACAAAAGAAGACAAAAATTGAGGGAATAGAACACTTGAAAGAAGAGAAACTACAGTGGGTGAGGCCCACATTTATCTTATCCCTGAGGACACATCCTACTCAGGATGCTGCAAGGGAAATAACTCAAGCAGAAACTCATATTGGGCTGAGGAATCAAAGGTCAAAATTCGAGTATTGGAGAAAATCAAATTTATATTTACAAAATTGAATTTAAGATACTATTAAATAACATGAAAGAAATAGCTTTGTATATGTTATTTCATGGTTGAAAAGTTCCCAAATTGCATGAGAATATTTTTGTTTAGTTGGTGGGTTTTTTGCTTTTGTCTTTGGTTTTTGAGTTAGATTAATATGATTTTAAACTCCCATCATTTTATCAAATATCCCAAACACCACTTAGTTGTATAATAAAATGGTTCTTAAAGACTTTGTGAAGCAAAGTTGATGCTTAGAGAACTCTAACCTCAACTGTCTGTGAGATGGTAATGACTTTGCAGCAGTCCTTCTCTTTCATGAGTGTCCAGAGGCACCTTTGTCCCATTCTCATGTTTTATGGTAATAATTGGTGGAAAAGAATACTTTCATAGGGTATCATTAAAAAAGAAATAAAACCTGAGAGAGTCAGGAAAGTAGAGAAGATTGCTGCAAAGTTAAAGGGATCAATGATGATTCTTATTTACCTATAGGGGGTCACTCCGCTCTTTGAAGTGTTACCTTACTGTCTTGCGTTAAAGAGAAATTAAGAAATTAGAGAGACTAATATGTAAGAATATTAGGACTCCTTCCATGAAATAAGATAGATTGGTGGTTGAGTTGTTGTTGTTTTTTTTTTTTTTTTTTGCAAAGAAGAACAGGGGTGTAGGCCAGAGGAGAGTGATGAGAGGATTCACCAGAGACAAAGTGGGGAGCAAAACAGGCAGATTGACTGAAATATACTATTAAGGGGAGCAGTGGGCCAGACAGGGGAGATCTGCTTTGCTACAGGTAGGTTAGCTCCCTAGTGGGTGATCAAACTAAGGCCAAAGCAGTGATAGTGATGAAACTTAACCTCTAGGGCACCAGGGAGTCCCCCTAGTTCTTTTTAAATAATAAATTTTGTGTATTGTTATGAAAGTAACAGTTATTATAACGTATAAAGAAAGATATAACAAGGAAAAAAGGTATACAAAAGAGTCAGCCACGATTGTCATTTTGATTTACTGCCTTCCAGGATATTTTTTTTACCATATCCAGTCTATTAATTGAATTTGTTCATACTGTGTAGGTATTCTGTATCCTGTCCGTAATTTTTACTCATTATGATCTTATATTTTCTCATGTTATTGAAGTCTTTAGAAGCATAATTTTAAATAGCTGCCCAATATTTCAGCAAATAGACACAACACAATTTTCTCAACATTTTTACTATTAGGGAAAAATTGCAAGTAGTTTAAGTGCCCAACATTTTAATTAGTATTGCAATGAGACTCCTATTTCCCTAGCCGGGATAATTTACTTTTTCTTTTTCCTTGTAATATTAATATAATATGGAATAGGGACAATTTCTTATAGTTAACATGATTTAGTGAGGTATGCAAATATTAAGTGAATGTAATTCTATTATAGAACTTGATTTTCTCCATTCTAATAATTCATAGTGTTCCATCAATGCATATAGCAAGTCACATCACCATCACAAAATTAACTCATCACAAAGGCTACTTCCTTCAACCCCTAGCCTCTGCCAACCACTTTTTACCGTTTCTATGAGTTTGATTTTTTTTTTTAGATTCCACATTTAAGTAATACCATGTAGTATTTTTCTTTCACTGTCTAGCTTATTTCATTCAGTGTAAATTAACTCATCACATAAATTATTTCTGTATATTTCCTCTTTCGTTTATAGTAGAAAGAGCAAAAATTATCAAAAATGGCTTCAAACATTTGCTCTGTCCAACTAAATGACCTTGCAAAGTTGTTAATCTTCACTGGTCTCTGGTTATCTCTTTATAAAATAGTATTATACCTCATAATAGTAATTTTAGTACTAGATAAGAAAATGTGTTTTTAAAAAGTACTAGCATAGCATAAAGCAGATTAATTTCAGTTCTTTCCTCTGGGTTTTTCTTTCCTATTATGTAAATATATACCAACAGTTTTACAGTGGTATTCTATGGAGCCTGAGGCATAGCCAAAGACAAAGGCAAACTAGGTGTTCTTTGGGCTTCCAGTCTCCATTTCAACCCAATGGATTTTTCTTTTTACCTTTTCAACTTTATTGAAATATAATAAGCAAAAAAAGTTGTAAGATAATTTAAAGTATACATCTTGAGGATTTGATACTCATTGTAAAAGGCTAATGATATGCATTTGGCTAATTAATAGATCCATCACCTCACATATTTATCTTTTTGTTTTCTTGATGCTAACATTTAAGTTATTCTCTCATAGTAGATCTCAATTATATAAAACAGTGTGATCAATTATAATCACATTTCATGTTATATACTCTCCATGTTTTATATTAGATCCTTAGATTGCATTTGTCTTATAGCTGAAAGTTTGTACCCTTTTACTAAACTCTCCCTACTTCCTTCAACCCCTAGCCTCTACCAACCACTTTTTACTGTTTCTATGAGTTTGATTTTTTTTTTTAGATTCCACATTTTAGTAATTCCATGTAGTATTTTTCTTTCACTGTCTAGCTTATTTCATTCAGTGTAAAGACCTCAAGATTCATGTTTCACAAATGGCAAGATTTCCTTCTTCTCATGACTGATAATATTCTATTATGCATATATATATATATATACTTATGCACATAACATCTTTATGCATCCATTGGTGGATACATAGGTATTTTCCCCCCAAATCTTAGCTATTATGAATTACACTTCCATGAACACATGAGTGCAAATATCACTTTGATAACCTGTTTTCATTTCCTTTGGGTATATATCCAGCAGTGGAGTTGCCAATTTTTTGAGAAACCTCCATGCTGTTTTTCATATTGGCTATACCAATTTACATTCCCATTGGTAGTATACAAGGGTTTCCTTCTCTACAGATCCTCATCAACACTTGTTTCCTTCTCTACATATCCTCATCAACACTTGTTTTCTTTTATCTTTTTAACTATAACCATTCTTTGTTATTGTATTTCATCATTTTGATACATATTTCACTAATGATTAGTGATGTTGGGCATTTTTCTTGTACCTATTAGCCACTTCTTTGTCGTCTTTGCCCATTTTTTAATCATACTATTTTTTAATATTGAATTGTATGAGCACTTTATGTATTTTGATATTAACCCCTAATTGGATATATAGTTTGCAAATGTCTTCTCCCATTCTATAGAGTGCCTTTTCATTTTGTTGATGATTTTCTTTGCTATACAAAATTAGTTTTTCTTTGAGTTCTTTTACATCTTAGAGTTCCTGGTGGAATTTTATTTGAGGAAAAGGAGTCTATATCCTAAAACAAAGTTTTGAAAAAAAATTAGACTAGGTAATTACTTCCAATTTAAAAATATTATTTTTGGAGGTGATTATTATTCTGAGCACTCTTAAAAGAAGCTGTCTTTTATTTTTTATAGTGCTGTTGTAATGAGTCCAGGTGAAGAAATCTTAACCTTATTACAGAAAATGCCATTTGAAATAGAAGAGCTTAAGAAGGAAGCAGCTAATCTTCCTGCAGAAGATGGTAAGTGGTGATCCAGCATAGAGCAGAAGAGTTAGAAAGAATTAGAGCGTTCCACTAAATGTCACAGGGTACTTACCTGAGAGTACCTGTCATATGAGTCGGTATGCTTTCTTCTTTTTCAGATGATAAGTGGTTAGATATTTCACCAGATCAGCTGGACCAACTTCTTCAGGAAGCTGCAGGCAAAAAAGATGCAGAGCCCATTTCCAAGGGGGAGGAGCAGAACTATGACTTAACTCAAGTGTCAGAGAGCATGAAAGCTTTCATATCAAAAGTCTCAACCCACAAAGGAGCAGAGCTGCCTCGGTAATTTATGTTAAAGTATAAATATCTGAATTATTACCACCCATATGTTGACATCATCCAATCATTGCCAGTTTCACCTTCACGTTTTCTTACTATTTTAAGTAAATGATTTGTACTGCTTTGTTTCCCTCTTCTGGTGCCTGATGCCATGATAACCTATTATCTGGAGTCAGATTGCTAGTAGCTGATTTCCTTTGTTATCCTTAAAATGATCCAGAGAGCTCACTCTACAGATCTAAAAGTCAGCATCTTAGGACTGTCAGGGAAACCGTGTATTTTTGTCTTTTAAACTTTTACTCTGAGCTTTATGAACTCTTAACATCTGGCTCTTATCAAGCTCAGACTTCTGATATCCTGTCCCACAAGCAGATTGGAAGCTTCATACTCAAAAAAGGGAGATAAGAGTTTGTCAGAGGAAGAAATAATAATAGGAGAGATAGGAAGTTACATTTGACAATAGGGAAAAAGTGTAGGTGAGATTGTTACTTGCACAGCAAATATATCTTTATTAGTGTGGCTATTCTTGAACCTCATGAGAAGATTAAAATTTATCATTTACATTCTCTCTTAAAGAATGCAGGGATAAGGGAAGGTATATTATACTTATTTTTAAAATTTTTCTTCTTAATCAGACTTTATTAAATTAATTCAGATAACTTCTTTTGTTAAATCTAGATATATCTGTGGGAGGTAGAAGGTGGCTCAGTCCCTAAATCAGCATCAGTTAAACATGTATAAACAAAGTACAGCTTTTATTTTATTTCATAAGTCCTATTTCTGTTGCCCTGCAAGACCAGTAATTATAAGGATTTTTAAAATTTAAATTTCATTTCCTTGCTCTACCTCATCTGAGATATTGTTTCTGGTGGTGTTCCTAAGAATGGTACCACTTTAGAGAAATTTTCAAAAAGTTATGTTCTGGAGAAATTGACCTTTTTCCTTTAACTTTGCAGAGAACCCTCTGAGGCTCCAATCACTTTTGATGCAGATTCTTTTCTTAATTATTTTGATAAGGTTTTAGGTAAGTTATGGTATGCTGTTTATTTTCATTTTGAAACTAAGTGGTATGGCTGTTGGTAGAGCATTGGAACACTAATTCTTTTGATGGTCAAAATATTTGCTTTTTCCTTCCATATGATCCAGCAGTTCCACTCCTAGGTATTTACCCAAATGACACAGAAACATTATTCCAAAGGGTACCTGCACCCCTATGTTTATAACAGCACTGTTTACAATAGCTAAGCTATGGAAACAACCGAAATGCCCAAAAATAGATGACTGGATCAAGAAGATGTGGTACATATACACAATGGAATATTACTCAGCATTCAAAAAAGATAAACACATGCAGTTTGCAGCAATATGGATGGAGCTAAAAGGGATCATGCTCAGTGAAATAAGTCAGAAAAAAAAAAGAAAAATACCGATGGTCTCATAGCAGGAATTTAGAAAACCTAAATTGATTTTCACTATGACTTACTGCCCTGTTAAATGATTTTGCAGAGGATGCCTAGTTCATTGCCTGACACACTATCCGCTCATTAATTTTTCTGTTGATTGAGTGAATGCTCTGTGTTAAAGTTAATTTTATCTTGGCCACCATATTTTATTGCTTTTTTTTCTCTTTTAGACTTATTGCACTTATGCCCTAATAATAAGAAAAACAAATAGCCATTAAAAAATCAACAAAGTATATAAATAAGCAGTACCTTGGAAAACTATAAATAAATATTTGAAAATACTTAATTGTTTTTAGTATGCAGGTAAATGCAACGTAAAAATAAGAACTTATTTTTTTGCCCATCATGTTGGCAAAAATTTAAAAAATTGATAATAACCAGTTTTCTTAATGGTTGGAGAAATGAGTGCTGTCAAAATGTGGGGGAAGAAGTGTAAGTTGTCTTTTCACAGAGCATTTTGGACTAGAATGTTCATTACCTTTGAATTAGCAATCTCACTTCCAGGAATTTACTATATGAAATGGTATATTTGCTAAGGTAATGATTACAGTATTGTAGTAGCAAGAAATGGAATATCCTAAATGCCCACCAAGAGGGATACGGTTAAATAAATCATAGCACATTTAGTAACGAATGAGGTCCTTCTATTTGTTTTGGCAGAAAAGGACCTTCAAGACATGATTAAGTGGAAAAGCAACCATAGTTCTCTCTCTCTCTCTCTCTCTCTATATATATATATATATATGTATATATGTGTGTGTGTGTTTTTAAAAAAGTGTGCTTTTTAAATATAAGTTTTATAAATTTTTATATAAAATATATACAAATTTTAATAGTTTTTTATATATATAGCTATATTGATATAAATTTGATATATACCAAACTGTTAAAATGTTTAACTCTGGGAAGAGAGATGTGAGACAACGTATCTGTGACTTAAAATGTTTCCATCAAAATGTATTCATGTATTATGTAGTTTTTTAATGAAAACATTTTAATTGATTCACATAAAAAAAAAAGCTGAATCTTTCAGCACAGCCTGTGTACTTTTCTGCAAATATCTACCGGCAGTACCATTTTTGGAAGGAATTTGTGAAGTAGTGTGCCTATGTATATTGGTCCTTTTCTGTGGGTAATATTTTAATACTCTTGAACAGTATATTTACTTAAAATTACCAATTAGCTCTTTCTTTTTGGGGATCTGTGTAGGGCCAAGTTCTCATGAGTCTGACTCTGATGATCTGGAGGAGGAAGACTTTGAATGTTTAGATAGTGATGATGACTTAGATCTTGAAACTCAGGATGCCGGGGAAGGAGCATCTATAAAAGGAACTCTTGATAGTCTTAAGTCATACATGGCCCAGATGGACCAGGAACTGGCACATACCAGCATCGGCAAAAGTTTCACCACACAGAAACAAATGGTATGTGTGTATTTAACTTATTTTCCTTTCTAATAATAATAATTTCCTCTATAATAATAAAGGATAGCAAACCCTATCTCTAATCTTTATTTTTTTATTTTGTGATAAATTTGATTTTTTGAGTTAAAATAAGTATTTTTTCCTAATTTTGGTAGGGTAAAGATTATTAACTTTATTTTTCTAAATGTAAACTTAATTACATTACTTATTCTATGTTATCTATCAGGATTTAAAATTAAAAAATCATGTCATGTGTTCAAATTTATATGTGGTTGCATTCCACTAATAATAACTTGATTCTAAAAAATGAGAAAGGGGGCCTCCCTGGTGGCATAGGGGTTAAGGCTTAGTGCTATCACTGCAATGTCCTGGGTTCAATCCCTGGCCATGGAGCTAACCCACATATGGTGCAGCAGACCTCTCCTGTCTCACCCACTGCTCCCCTTAGCAGTATATTTCAGTAAATCTGCCTGCTCTGCTCCCCACTCTGCATCTGGTGAATTCTCTCATCCCCCGTGCCTCTGGCCTATACCCCAGTTTGTCTACACAAATAGTAAAGTATTTTTAAAAAATGAGAAAGGATCCTAAATATCCAAATAATTCTCAAGTCTTAATAGTGTTTTGTATGTTTTCCTAACTTAGAGCCAAATTTAAAATTCATCTTCCACACATGCTTTTTCACTTACTTTTTATACCAGCACTGTCTAACACTGGATAGACATTGAAGAGAATGGACCCTGGAGTCTCATGGATTAGGGTTTGCAGTCTAGTTCAGCTGTCCACTGTGAATGTACTCATTAATCAATAACCTCATGTCATCTTATTAACATGAGAACCAAATGAGATAACACTAAAACCCATAATGGGCCTTTAATTTTTGTTATTCCCTTTGTTTTAATCATCTAAACCACATTTAAAACTATAAGCACTACTACTGTTGCCAAAACCAAATAGCAGTGTTTCTTAAAATTTAATGTAAATATGTACCACTTAAAGATATTGTTAAATAACAGATTCTGGGTATGTGTAGAATTGTTCAAATACAGATTCTAGGGTGAAGCCTGAGATTTTACCTTTTTAACAAGCACCCCAGGGGAAGTACATGCCTCTGGTCAGTGAGTAGCAAAGATACAAAGATTTGTACATAAAGTTGCAATTTTTTTTTGATCCTTTCCTCATTGTGAAATCAGCAACACAAGTGATTTGGAGTCTTTGTTTTGGGATACTACAAAGCCTTAGGTTTTTACTTTGCATTTTCATTGAGGGGAGAATACAGGTACTTTCATTTAGAAGAAAATTTAGATTCTTTTTTTAATGTTCATTTTTTGTTTTCTTTTTATTATGTGCTATTTTATGTGTTTATTTTAAAATTTAGTCATACCATAAATGTATCATTTAACTTGTAGAAACTTTCCCTAGAACAAAGTGTTAATAATCTCTGAAACATTTTAATGTATATCAAATTACATAAACTATTAAATTCCATTTTTACTTTTCTGTCATAAAGGATAAGAATTTTTTTTTACTTGGGAATTCCATTTTATGATGTTGGCTTTCTATTATAATTACCATCCAACCTAATGGCATATTATCCCATGATTCTTTATTCCCTCTTTGATTAAGGAACCTGTATCCCAGACCAATTCAGATGAGGAAGATTCTGGTGCAGAAGGATCTGTTATGTCACCAGTGGATGTAGATTTAAACTTGGTTTCAAATATATTGGAATCCTATAATTCCCAAGCTGGACTGGCAGGACCTGCTTCCAACCTTTTACAAAGCATGGGAGTGCAGCTGCCTGACAACATTCATCACAGACCTACAAGTAAGCCAACGAAAGATTAATGAGCATACCTAGGCTCATTTTTTCTTCCTCAATAAATATTGAATCTGTTTGTGTTCATTTCTAGTTTAGATTACTCATTTAATAAAATGTTTGTCATTACAAATTTCACAGGTTGACTCTCCTCTGTAAGCCCTAAATGTTGCCCTCTCTGCTCAAGTCTTTGTGATCTCAACTCTGGAGTCCACACAAGTTAGAAATTGAAGTTAGAAGAGAAACAAACCCCTAGACAGCCCCTGAGATGAGATTTACACTCTTCATGTTTAGAACATTAAATTTTATCTTTACTGAAGATTAAATGTTGAGTAGAGAAAGGAAGGTAGTATAGGCAAAAATAGGGAATGAATGAGTTCCTTTTTTATTCAAGTACCAGGGTTGACTGAGCTTGAGTCAGGCTCACTCAGGTGACACATAGGTTTGGTTTAACATTTTACCTGTTTTTGTTTTTCTGCTTCATGGACATGGCGGGTTCTGTTTATCTTTAGCGCCTTCATAACTCAGAGCCATAAATTCTCCAGCCAGGTAAAGTACAGAGGTATCGAAATTTATTTTATTTATCTGCCCTTTTTAGTACCCCAACCTTGCCCTCTTGCCTTAAATGTCAGATATCCTTGGCATACTAAGAAGAGCCCTCTTCCCACTCATTGCTGGGAAACAAGGTTCACTTTTGCAGCTCCTCCTATTAACCACTCTCTTCTCTTCTTTTCCAAAACAACACATTAATCGAAAAGCAAATAGTTACTCCATGATAAGCTTGAGAAACTCATAACCAGGAATCCCACACACTCCCCTTTCTATCAGTGTTTTCAGATTGAGGATGTGTACACATGTGCTCACAAACACACCCACATAGAGATAGAAAAGATTGGGAGACACATGAACCCTGAACTGTTTTCTTCTAACTGCAAAATATGAAGAAATCTCAGGACCTCTCTTTGGAGAGCGCTTTTCTCTTCTCCATGCAGGGTTCAGCTCAGGTCAGAATAAGCTGCCAATCTAACAAAACAATCAAGTCTCATTACATAGTGTCCCTCAATATTTTCAGATGAAGGCACTTTGATTTTTCATAAAGCAGTGATGGTTTGCTGGCAGTGTCAAGAGCTAGTGACCTTTTGAGATCAAAAGGAAATACAGTGCTTCAACTTTCCTAGTTCTAGCATCCCTTTTGTTTAGTCCTAATGGGAAGTGTTGAGGTGTGAATAATCTTAGCGTCTCTGGCACTTGTGTCTTTAATCACAAATCAGTGTGAAGATACTGCTCTTTCCCCAACTATTCCTTTTTTTGACCGAACCTCTAACGATGTTTTTTCTGTACATTGCTTCACTCATTCCATACCTTTAGAAACTGGACTTATTTGTCACACTAATGAAGATTATTCTTCTCCCCTACCCCCAATTCCCTTTCTTCAATTTCTTTGTAAGACAGAAAAAAGTACATTGGGATAAGAGTGGAAATTTATTTTTTTTTCTTCCACATAAGTTCTCTCCTCTGACAAGGTATATGATGGCAAATATGAACAGTGAGAAATCTCAAATTTAGTTTATCCCATAAAACTGAAGAAATGGTTCATCCTTACTAATCCCTTACTGAAGTTACAGCATGTATTAAGTGTGCAAATGGCAACAGCAATTTTACATTTAGGAAAATAAGCATGGCAAAGTGATCTTTTGCTTGGGTCATAAGCTATGAAAGTTAACAGCAAATAAGACTTAACTGTCTTGAGCCTCACTGGAAGGCAGTTACCTCTACAGAACATCATTGCATCCGATTTATTACAGAGTACTCTTGAGGAAACTCTCACTTTCCTCATCCCTTCAGATGACTTAAATGTCTTATGTAACTGCCATGTACAAAATAACTACCTGTACATGAATTCAAAATACATAGTGCTATCTTAATTCTCTGAGGCAAAAAAAGTAGGTTGAGATTTGCTATATATTTTCAATACTAGGATAAAAGTTTTTTTTTTTTTTTAAAGATTTATTTATTTTATTTATACAAGCACTGGGTACAGTCAGAAGCGCGGGAGGGTGAGAGAATGAGCCAGAGCCAGAGCCAGGAGCAGAGCAGGCAGAAGGACCGAAGTACACTACGGGGGAGCAGCAGGCGGCAGGAGAGGTCTTGTCGCCATGCGGGACCCACCTCCAGTGGCCGGGAAGCAGCCGGGGATGGGCCAGGGATCGAACCAGCGCTGCAGAGGCTACGGGCAGCTTCGCAACCCAGCGCTCAACCGCTGCACCACCGGGGAGGCCCCACTAGGATAAAAGTTTTAACTGAAATTATTCCAGGCATATTTTGGCATTAGTATAAACCCAGCATTAACAAGTCACATGCCAAATCCAAGTCTTACTAGTGCTTCCACCTTCCTTCTGATTTTGACACTTGTCATCTCATCAATTTTTCTTCTCATATTGGCATTTTTTATTTCCTAATTAGGAATTTCTTTCATTAATATTACTAGTAGAGGGTGTCTTCTTTTAGGTTCACCTATTGTTCTCTCTTGTTATGAGGTTGTCCTGGATGTGGCCTTTTGTCACTTCCCCTTTATCAAATGATCTCTGATATGTCCCACCAGAATACTGAAGAGGGATCTAGGTGACTTGATATGAACTAAGCAGTTAAGGTAGAAGAGGTTGGTTTTTCTACCCATTCCTTAATCAGTTGGTGGGCAATTGCTTGCTTGGGGGGCACCCAGAATGGGAAGGTCTCATTCTGTTTCTGTTGCTGAGTATATGCATTGGTTCTCCTCAGGGCTGCAGCCACTTCATCATGACTGAACCAGGCAGCTGCCTCTAATTCTCTCAAGTTCACGTGGATCTGAAAGACATGAGAAAAAACAGGATGTAAAGTTAGGAGCTAAAAAATGTAGAATATTTTGGGTAAAGGTGAGAAAATGGTTCTAGAACTGAGCAATCTTAGAAGAGAATACCTGGAATCTACATCTACTCAGTTTCATGTATTGCCCAGATGCAAAAGAGGTGTAATTAGGTGATGGGAGTTAAAATATTTTAATAGTTTTTAAAAAAGGATGTATTTTTAAAATCCAGGAAACACAAATAGTGAAATATTACGGGGCTAACACTGAGGGATACATTATGAATAATACTTCCTTTTTTGTACCTCTATTATATAATTTGCAATTTTTTTTGTTTGTTTGTTTGGTGGGACCCTCGCCGGCAGCCGGGGAACGAACCGGCACTGCAGAGGCTGTGGGCAGCCTCGTAGCCCAGCGCTCAACCGCTGTGCCACTAGGGGAGGCCCTATATAATTTGCAATTTTAAAAAGAATATAGAAATGTTACTCTTCTCTAAAGGATAAAGGTTAATGATAATCAACGGCATATCTTCTTTTCAAGAAGCAAAATAATACAAACTGCATTACTGTTTACTGAGACAGGTTAAATATTATTCATTCTATAGAAGCCAAAACACACATTAGATATATTTGACAGGCAGGGATCACAACACCATCTATCATATCAGGTTTGCTACAAAGAGCAAGATGAGATTGGATATAACAACACTGAAGATCTTTTCAACCAGAATTCCTATGATTTTATATTCATTTTTAACATCCTAACTGACTCGAGCAGTGAGACCAATCCTGAAATCAATCTAAATTTGATATATTTGTGTGTCTATTCTATGTAATTAAGTCCTGATGTTGAATGATAAATTGTCTTATAAGTGAGATGTATAGAAGGAAGAATGGTAATCATGTTGCCACTCAATTTTCATGGTGATTATTTCTTTTGAGATTGCTGATTCCTTAAGGATATAAATCACTTTATTCATCTTTGTGTAATCTAGACAATGCTGGACTAGACGTGTTTAAGTCAGTGCCTACTGACCATCTAGGATGAGGCAAAGGAAATACCACAACATAAGGGAAGCATTAGAACTTACCTCTGTCTGTTCTGGTTTCACAGTTGCATGATAACCAACCATGAGTGAGCTATTAGGAAAGGGCCAGTGCTGGGATGCAGAGTACTCCAATTTTTCCACCTCTAATCCCACCTCTTCTGCAACTTCCCGCCGGACAGTCTCTTCCAGACATTCACCTACAAGCACTCAGATTAATTCAGGACAGCCCTGCAGCGGGAAGGGTGATACAGATGCCCATTTGTGAAAGCGTAAAACTGGCTCCAAAGTATCAATGAAATACTCTTGGAAGAGCCCTAATCTTCCTAGTCTCTATAATAATAGGAACCAAATCTAGAGTTGGATGTTAAACTTCAATAGTTAAACCAACTAGGTTAGTTACAGTGCAACATGAGTGTCAATGGGAAAGGCACTGCTGCCCTCAGCTTTTGTAAATTACACCCTTTGCAAATTTTACACCAATAGACTGAGGAAAAAACAAATCTGTAAATAAATACTGAATTCCAGTTAATATGCATGCTGAAATACTTAGGAAGAAGTGTAATATGTACAATATGCATCAAATAAGATGGATTGATGGAAAGATACAGGAATGGATAGACATGTGACTAAGTGTAGTAAAAATATATAAAGCATAGATGGTAAGTATAGGTATTCATATATAATTTAACACTCCTATATGTTTGAAAATTTGCCTAATAAAACATTAAAAATTTATGCCATAAGTCAATTCTTGACATGATAGGGAAGAACATGCCTGAGACTTCCAGCACTATGGCAACAAGACAGATGCCTACTATTGGTAAGCCTTTGTGCCCTTCAATTTCCTTTGTACATGCTCTAAACCCCTTACCTATATCACAAAAACCTGCCAAGGCAGAATACATTCCTTTGGGAAAGGAACTCTGGCGGGCAAGCAGGCATCGAGTCCCATCTGATACCAGAATGATCACCACAGGAGCCATCTAGGACAAGGGGGTAAAAACTTAAGACTTTAGGGTTTTGAAGCCTAAGGAGATTAAAGAATGGATAACTAAAGAAAACCTTTTAACCTTTTAAGCCTTTTTATAGGATTTCTTTAAAAGCCTATAAAAAGGTTTTTAAAGAAAAAAGGCTTTTAAAGAAAGCCTGTAAAATTGTACAGGCTTCCATCCTCTGGCCAAGTAGTACACAGCCTTAGATTGTCATTTTAAAGAAATGTTTACCTGTGGATAATAGATGATCTTACTGGAAGGGCACACACGCTTGCTGCCAGCCATGTTCTTCTTAGTGGGCTGCCCACTTCTGCCGCAGAACTGATGAGCATCATGCCAACGAAGAAGAGCCTGAGCCTAGGGATACAAAGATGGACTGGATTTCCTAGGTACAGAAAGTGGGGCATATGCATAAAAGAAAGTATATTTTAATGTATTACAAATTATTTAAAACATAATATATAAAGTATTACAATGAACACTCAGGTACTTACTACCTAGCTTAAAATTAAACATTTCCAATATATAGTTCTCCCAATGAAGTTAGAAATTTTTGGCGAAGAAAAAATATTTAGAAATTTTTAAATTTAAATCTATGAGGATGTCATTAAAACAATATAAGGTCATTTCTCATAGGAAAAACAATGTATATATTTATGCTTTGGGTCATTAAAATGTTTGTGAGGTTGACAGATCATATTGCTATAGATTTGCATGTCCTTAGGGAAAATGATCCTGACAGCACTCCTGCCAAAAACAGGGGCACAAGAATAAGCCATCTCCCTACAACACATTGGTTTTTTTTTTCCCCCGTGGTTTATAAGGACTATGATCTGCAAAAGGCAAAATCGAATGTCACTTTAGTCTTGCTTTATTAAATTTCCTACCAAACTGAGAAATCAGAATCTACCATGGATAGCAAGGAGGCATCCTTCCAATTCAGCTGAAAAAGAGCTTTCCTCAGCTCAGTGAAAGATCCTTTGAGTTCTGTCTCTATTTCAGGTTTCTTTAAGGAAGCTAGAAAATCAGAAAAGAAATTGAAGTGAAACTAATGTCAAACTTTGTCTTGTGATCCTCTCAAGTATATCCTATTAGAATAGTGTTTCCCAAACTTGCCTAATAATAATAATAAAAGTTTTCAAGCCCTATCTGGAGATTCTGAACAGTGATGTGGAGTGAGGCCCAGAAATCTATTTTTTTTTATGTATTTGTTTATTTGTTTGTTTATACATGCATTGGGTACAGTCAGAAGCACGGGAGGGTGAGAGAATTCACCAGAGCCAGAGCCGGGAGCAGAGCAGGCAGAAGAATCGAAGTACGCTGCTGAGGGGAGCAGCGGGCGACAGGAGAGGTCTGCGTGCCATGTTGGGACCCTCCTCCGGTGGCCGGGGAGCAGCCGGGGATCAAACCGGCGCCGCAGAGGCCGCGGGCAGCTTCGCAACCCAGCACTCAACCGCTGCGCCACCGGGGAGGCCCCAGAAATCTATTTTTTAACAAGCACCAAATTCTTACTTTTATGCAAATCTGGGAAACATTAGCCCCTAGTTATTCTCAAGATCCCCTTCAGAGCAATAAGAACATTTGCTCAAGCCACATACTATCCTTGGAACAGAGATGAAGTGGAGTCTCTAAGCTACTATTGCAAACTCATTCCAATATCATTAAATTTACACCTATACCCCAAAAGAGAGAAGAAAAGCCTGCTTGGAGCCATGAGCCTATAGCAGACTGGTTCTCAAATACGGGTCTAAAAACAGAGCCATCGCAAGCATTGACAAGAGAAATAAAAATGATGTCATGAGTTTTAAACATTTCTTATGAAATAATTATATAAAATGTATAAAGTAATACAACAAAATGTGTGTACTCATCACCTAACTCAGAAAACATTAAAATGTTCTTTATTTTCTTTTAAATGATGATGACAGTGAATCATAGGTGTGGTTTTTTTTTTTTTTTTTTGGTCCTAACATATATTTTCCTTGAGATTTTACTATTTATATAATTATGTGAAATCATAAAGTCTAAAAGCCACTCGGTAGTACCCATTGGGAATAATGTTAAGTACCATTTATGGAAGAGTTGCTATTTAAACCTAGGTCCAGAGCAAACCATGCTTCATGCTGTTCAGAGCATCCAATCAGCACAGAATCTTCTATTCTTTTTGTATCCTGTCCAAACTTACCCAGGAGACTTTCCAACTCTAAGAAACAGAAAAGAAAGGAGAGAAACAAGAGTTATAATTAAATTACATGTTTAGATTTTTAAAAATCTGCTTGAAATAGGTACATCTCGATTTTAGTCAGAATATAGCTAATTAGCTATTTAATTTTGTCTAGTCACTTAATGTCTTTAGGCCTGTTTTCTTACTCATAATCTAAGGAATTTAGACTAAAGAAGGAAGTATTTTTGTGTAATACTATATTACTCTATGTTTGTATCATTAAAGGAACATATCCCCTAATTTGTAAGATACAAAATTTATGATTTGGAAAAAAAAAAAAAACTGTCTGACTTAAAATGATAGAAACTAAATCAGTTCTATAATTTAGTCTCCAGATTATGTTGTAATTATGGGCCAGGGTCAAATATTCATCTGAAATCCCAGTCTATCTAAGACAAATGCTGCATAGGAAGAAAAATTATCTTCTTGCACATGGACTCATTTATTTGTTCATATACAACATTGCTAACCCCCTAAATAATGTTAAGTGCCTTCTGATGGCTCTCTCATATTTTCTGCACTGCTGCAAACTGCTTATTTAAGTACATCATCTAACCCATATGAGAAATTCACTGGCAATGTATTTAGAAGTTAGTGTGTAGTGACATCACATAAAACTGAAAGTTAGTATTTTGAATGCCAAATCCTAATGGCTTAGGTATCTCTAGTTATATGCCCTAAAAGAGTTCTCAAAACAAATTAATTTTAATTTACTTTTTATTTTGACCCATTTAGGACAAATGAAGTCATGATGCAAATCTTAAACAGTGTGACAACATGCAACTCCATGGAAGCTAGAAATCATTGGCCTACGGCAGGTGTTGGCAAAATATTTTAGACTTTGTGAGTCATATGGTCTCTGTCACAACCACTCAACTCTGCCACTGTAGTGTGAAAGCAGCCAAAGATAATATTTAAATGCATGTTGTGGCTATGTTCTAATAGTTACAAAACAGGCAGTGGGTTCCAATTTGGACAGCAGTTTTGCTGACCCCTAGTTTAAGGCAGTCTTGGTTTATACCATCATCAAATAACATCTGACTGGATAACTCAGGTTTATACACTAAATAACTAATTGGCAGAAGCCGTTTGAAAAACCTAGACCCTAAATTCAGAGGATCCGACTTAGGAGTTCAGTATGGAACAAACTCTTCTTAGTGGCCATAGACTGGTTTACTTTGGACTTACCTAATAGACTATGCTGGGGGACCAGGTATTGATGTTCTGATTTTTGAAGCAAAGGAGCCAGGTTATGAAAGAGGTAAAAAAGCCCTGTCTGCTGGGCTTTTTTGCATGCATCATCATCTTCCTTCAGTTCAAATAAATATCTGTATTTGAGACATAGCCAAAGCATTATAAAACCTTACGTAGTTACTTGCATAGCATTCATTGCTGCAAATTCTGCTCCTGCATCCCTCTCCTACCATGGTTATTTCCTTTTATTTATTTTCTTTTTTTTTAAATTTTTTTTTTTAAGATTTATTTATTCATGCATACAAGAGCTGGGGTACAGGCCAGAGATGCGGGGTGGGGAGAGGATTCACCAGAGACAGAGTGGGGAACAGAACAGGCAGAGTGACGGAAATACACAGCAAGCCAGGAGAAGTCTGTTGCGCCATGTCCGTTTCTCTCTGGCCAGCCGGGGATCGAACTCGTGCTGCAGAGGCTGTGGACTGCTTCATAGTCCAGTGCTTAACCCCTTGCGCCACCAGGGAGGCCCTCCTTTTATTTATTTTCATCGTAAATTGTACCAAAAAGGATTTGCGGCGGTTGCAGGCAGTCTCATTGCCTCCTTTGTCCTACTGTGTACGTTGCCCATACTTCTGTGGTTATAATTATATTGTACAATTTGTGAATCTGTCTCCCCTGAAAGACTATGATCTCCTTAAGGGCAGGGTCTGCCTTAGTTCTGTATCTCTAGTAGTTAGCATATTGAATAGATCAATTCAATAAGTATTAATTGGATTGAACTTCAAGGATAATAAATATTTACTGAATTGAACTTCAGGGTACTTTGCCAATATTATTCTGTGAGGTAAGAATTTACATGCAGTGGAGTGAAAGGAAAACAAGTACAGTGATAAAACATCAACCACAGAATAACTAGATATGGAAGCAGCCTTTATTATTGTAGACAAAGAGCAAATACTGTACTCTGTCAACTCTCATTCATTCTAGGGAAGATAAAGAGCAAATTTTATCTTCAATGAACCCTTGTTTCAAGCATCTAGTCCTGCAGGTAAACACCATTATTTCCTTATTTCTATAACAAAGGGATCACTGATGGAAAAATTAAACATATATATGTATATATGTGTGTGTATATATATACACACATATGTGTATATATACATATGTATGTTTAATATATATGTATGTTTAATTTTTATACACACACACACACTTGAACTATATAATAAGTGTAATATTTTCAGTAGCCAAAATAATAGTGTAGAAAAGAGAACATCCTATACTTAATTTTTGTAAGTGAAATAGTACTGGAAAAGGTCTAAGCTGTTCTGTTAATTTCATGAAGCATGGCCTAAGTAAATCCCTTCTGTGGGATTCAGGAAACTGAATGTGGATTCTTTTAGGGCCTTAAGGATAACTAACCATTTTTGACTACTGACAGTCTAAAATGGACTATCAGGTACCTGGAATATTTTATCAGTTAAAGTAGGAAACAGTTTACAGATATTTTCGGTAAAATCTGGGAGCTTTTGAAACAATGGTAGGTAGAGTTGACCTATGAAACCAAATGATAAACACACTCCAGTGGCATCTTTAGGAACCTATTTTTTTTTTTAAGATTTATTTATTTATTTATACAAGCACTAGGCACAGTCAGAAGCGCGGGAGGGTGAGAGAATTCACCAGAGCCAGAGTGGGGAACAGAACAGGCAGACTGATGAAATGCACTGCTGAGGGGAGCAGCGGGCACAGCAGGAGAGGTCTGTTGTGCCATGTGGGACACTCGGCTGGGGATCGAACTGGCGCTGCAGAGGCTGCGAGTAGCTTCGCAGCCCAGCGCTCAACCACTGCGCCACCAGGGGAGGCCCTTTAGGAACCTATTTTTGAAAGTGTGATAAAAAGGGTTTCAATGCATTCTTTATAAACAGAAGACAAAAGAAACCTGAGATTGTAATACTACAATATTTTTAAACTTATTGTGAGTGACTGCATCCGCCTGGGGGGCAAAGACTCAATGTACGTCAAAGGAGAAACGTGTGCCACTTACAAGTTACCAAATATAAACATTAGAACAAACACAGCTGCCTTTGTAAAAGAACAGTAAGAGTGGTACAACCTGTGCTTTGCCCTAATGACCCCAAAAAGAGAAACACCTATAAAAACATTCAGGTTAAGGTCTTAAACCTGGGACCTTACTGGAACTGGAACTGAGATCCAAAAAGTTCCTTATATTCTTCTTGATCAGGAATACTGTTTATAAAAATTCATTTTCTGCTTTTAGTTATAATAGTGTGAAAACTACAACACTAAGAGTATCAAACTTAAACTTTTTTATTATAAAAGTTAAAAAGTCATTCTATAAAAATCAGAAAATACAGTTAGCAGTTTTTTTAAAATAGGGAAATCATGAATTCCACCACTCAGCTAGGAACATACCTTGGAATCCCCCAAACTATTAATACTATTCATATATATATGTGTGTGTTTATATATATGTATATATACATACATTAAAAATCATACCAACTAATTCATAGCCCTTTTTTCTTAAACATTTTTCTTCAACAAATTTCTTAACATTTTTGCAAAATATTCTTTAGCAACAGTTTATTCTTTTCACATGATTTTTATTCATTTTAATACATTTACTCACTTTAACATACTCACTAGACTCTATTCAACAATTCTGTTATTGCTGTGGTAGAAGATCATTGGTACTTTGGTGGGTGTAGGGTAGGTAAAAGGTATCAGGCTTTTCTGCCCTCCCGCCATTAGGATAGATGGGGGAAACCTGTGGTCCTGAATGCATGACTGATGGCGGGCACCTGATGTGGGTACACCTGGGCTGAGAGACTGGACTTTTAAGGGCAGCGTCACGGGGATGCCAGCAGCAGCGGAAGTCGAGGGAAAGCCGGAGAGCCCAGAGTGAAGACCTGCTGGGGGCTGGGAGGCTGGTAGGCCCCAGCGCCCCTGCCTGCTGTGTGCCTGGTGATCACAATAAAAACCTGCAAAACCCCTGAGGGCTCCAGGACTCCTCCTTTACCTGGTCTGCTGGATCCTAGAAAACCTGCTCAGTGTCCGTTCCTGACCTTACAGTGGGGGACATGGTGTGGTAACTTAAAGAGGTGTGAACTTATACCCCTAAAACACACAGTGTTGTAAACCAATGTTACCTCAATTTAAAAAAAATTAAAAATAATTGTTATTGTTTTCAGAGACTCAGCTTGAGAACTACATATCACATATATGTTCAATAATATTTAAAACAAGTATTGTAATGTTGTTTTCTCACTCCTGTTCATGTGAGATTATATGTTTATGTGCCTTTAAATTCGGACTGGGCACTCATGTTTGACAGAGCTTTTTGTGTGGGAAGCCCTGGTTGTGAGTGTATCCCTCAGAGGGGCTTTACATTTGCTTCTATAGGATGCCCCAGGAGTGTGACCAGTCTAAGACTATTACTTAAATTATTTTCTTAGGCTGGGTGTTTTGGGACCACAACCACACAGATAGTACAAGTTTAAACCCCAAAACTATACGTGTGCATGTTAGTGATTTCCAGTTCAAAGATTTCAAATTTCCCTAAGCTGAGACAAAGAAGTCTTTTCTCATCTCCTGCACTGGTGGTGTTTATTTTCCTCCTAGTCAACATTTCACTGAAGTTTTGTTCTATGGTGGGGGAGAGGGAATTGGCATTTTTTATCTTATTTATGGGAAATTTCATGAACTGTTATTAAATTTCATTCATTAAGGGGCCTCCCTGGTGGCACAAGGGATTAAGATGCAACCTATGACGCTCTCTGCAGCCACTGCAGCATGAGTTTGATCCCTGGGCAGGGAGCCACCCACATGGAGCAGCATAACTCTCCTGACTCGCCCGCTGCTCCCCTCAGCAGTGTACTTCAGTCACTCTGCCTATTCTGTTCCCTACTCTGTTTCTGGTGAATCCTCTAACCCTCCATACTTCTGGCCTGTACCCCAGTTCTTGTATACATAAATAAATCTTAAAATAAAATAAATTCCATTCATTGATTCAATAATACTTCAGTGCCTACCAAGTTCCAGGTTCTGTTTTATGCATGGGGAGTAACATAGTAGAAAAGACAAAATTCTTTTTTTTAACTATAACAATTTTTTAATTTATATTTTGCATCATTGTTCATTTTTCTTCCCCCCCCCCCCCACACACACATTGCTTGCTTTCTTTTCTCAGGTGTAATCCCCATAGAATTCCTACTACCAGTTCACCCATGCACCATCACCATAGTCCCTTGTGCTTCTCCCGCCCCCATCTCGATCCCTCTGCTTCCTTGTAGGGTAAGGTAAATCATTGTCAGGCTTTCCTGACCTCCTGCCATTAGGACTGATGATGGATCTGCGGTCCCGAATGCATGCCTGATGGCGGACACCTGGAGCAGGGTGTGGGCATACGTAAGTGGATACACTTGGGCTGAGAGGCTGGGCTTATAAGGCTGGCGTCACAGGGATGCCAGAAGAACAGCACAACAGCAGAGCGAAGGAAGCAGGGAACAAGAGAGCGGAGTAGCAGAAAAGAATCACCAGCAAAGAAGCAGCGGCCACGAGAGAACGCTGGAGAACCCAGAAAGAGTGAAGACTTGCTCCCGGTCCACTGCCTGCTGTGTACCTGGTAAATCCCAATAAAAGCCTGCAAAAGCCACCGAGGGCTCCTAGGACTCTCCTCCTTCACCCGGTCTACTCAGGTCAGAGCCTGCCCTGTGGTCTTCCCGCCACTACACATACGTTGGGGGTAAACATATACTCTCCTTCTTTACCCCGTCTGCTGCAATCATAGAAAACCTGCCCTGTGCCATCCTGCTGCTACACTCCTCTTCCCCTGCACCATGTCTCTGATTTATAGTTGAAAAACAAAATTCTTAACAGAATTTATAGTTAAGTATGTCAGATACTTTAGATATTATTGGAAATTCAGTTGAAGAATTTTTCCAATAATCAATAATTTGCAATGAACATACTTATAAATAAGTCTTGGATCACACATCCTTAATCCTCTGTATAGAATTTTAATATATTTAGGATTTTATAACTTAATGAGCCGAAGCTAGAATAATTACAGCTCACGTTGGTCAAAACTCACCGTGTCTTAGTTACATAGGTTGACAGCAGCCTGGAGTACCAAAAAGATTTTCTCCTGCAAGCAATTCCACAATACAGGGACATTATCAAGTCCTTAGAGAAAAGAAATTTTTTTTTAAAAAGTCATAGTATGCAATTTAAAGTAATGAATCACCAAGAGGGTTATACTTTAAGCCAGGATAGGATCATTTTTTAATTACGAGAAAAGGAACAGTCAGATGATCTGGCTTCTAAATTGCCTGTCTATATTGATGCACACCTGAAACTTATATAATGTTATAATGCAGTGTTACTTAGGTAAATAGATAAAACTACATGTCTACATTAACTAACTGGGATTTCAATCTTTTAGTACCTTTCCTAATCTACAAAATTGAAAGCCATTCTGCCTACCTAATAGATTGTTGTGAGACTCAGCTAATTATCCACAAGAAAATACGTGCCCCTTCTATATTATAGAGCTGTTCTGGGAAGTAATGTCAAACCAAGGCCTGCATTTCTCTTCCCCCTTGTATCTAAGTAGAACCCAAATTATGTGTTAACAATGGGATGTGAGTGTGTGTTTCTTCTAGGCTAAGACAGTTAAGAAATATGCCTTTTCCATTCTCTTTTGACCCTTCTCCTTGGAAGACTCCAGAATGGCAGAAACTGTAGAGGAAAAGCCTCTGTCCTTGAATCACTGAATGGAGAAAAGCTACCCACCAAGCAAGGCCCCACCCTGCCTTGGATTATTTGTGAGTGGATAAGTAAGCTTTTACAGATTAAACCTCTGAACTTTTGAAATTTGGTACAGTAGTTGCATTACCCTTATATACTTAAAGTATATAAGGGGCTCCAGAGTAATGGAGCAAAGTTTCTCAGAATATGTGAACCCCAAAGTCCCTATAAAAATAAAGTAGGAGGAATGCTGCAAATAAGAAAAATATAAAATCATGGGCACTAGGAAAATGTTTAAAAGGCATATATGCAAATCTATATCAATTTAAGCTATTTTCTTTTTGTATCTCATTGTGGAAAAGTGTATCTTAAGAATCCATTCTGCAGGGGCCTCCCCGGTGGCGCAGTGGTTGAGCGCTGGGTTGCGATGCTGCCCGCAGCTCTGCAGCGCCAGTTCGATCCCTGGCTGCCACCGGGTGAGGGTCCCACATGGCGCGCAGACCTCTCCTGCAGCCCGCTGCTCCCCTCAGCAGTGTACTTCGGTCCTTCTGCCTGCTCTGCTCCCCGCTCTGGCTCTGGTGAATTCTCTCACCCTCCCGCGCTTCTGACTGTACCCAGTGCTCGTATAAATAAATAAAAAATCTTTAAAAAAAAAAAAAAAAAAGAATCCATTCTGCAGATGGTGATTCCTTTTAAGTTGTATATCAATTAGTATTTTATTCCCCATGAAAAGTACATTTCATATCATAAAAAGGTAGAAGTAAATGACTAAATTGAGTAAATAAGTAATTAAATTAACCAGCCACCTTTAACTGTACCGAAGTTTTAAGAGTAAAGCACTGAGGAATGAGAAACATCTAGAGTTTAAGCCTACTTCATGGTTGCATAATTATGAATCACTGATGAGTAATCCTTAGACAGTTTTGGCTACAATCTATGTCCTAGCCAAGGTTAAAATATATTTAGCAAAAGACATTCAACAAAGTACTTATTGAGTACTGACTTCATGCAAGTTCCCTTAAGGGACACAAATATGTACCAGATGAAAAGCCTCCTGACAAGGGACTCTAGGAGGAGAAAGAAAATACATAGTCTTTATAGATGTCAGTATGTGATGGATGGGTTATAAAGCACTCTAGGCGAGTATTAAAAGTATAATCCCTATAATTTATAGCCGTAAGATTTGTGTGCTATACGGTAAGAAATGTATTTAGAGTCACTCTGTCTTACAATTCTGAGACTGTAAATTGGCACAATACTTTTTTTTTTTGAAAGATTTATTTATTTATACAAGAACTGGGGTACAGGCCAGATGTGCGCGAGGGTGAACAGATTCACCAGAGACAGAGCGGGCAACAGAACAGGCAGATGGACTGAAATACACTGCTGAGGGGAGCAGCGGGCGACGGGAGAGATCTGCTGCACCATGTGGGTTTCTCCCCAGCTGGCCAGGATTGAACTCTTGCTGCCGAGGCTGCGTGCGGACAGACTTGCAGTGCAGCGCTCAACTGAATATATTATTAAGAAAAGTAGGGGCCTCCCTGGTGGCACAAGGGGTTAAGACATAACCTATGAAACTATCCACAGCCACTGCAGCACGACTTCGAGCCCTGGCCAGGGAGCTACCCACATGGCATGGCAGACCTCTCCTTACTCGTCCACTGCTCCCCCCAGCAGTGTATTTCGTTCAGTCTGCCTGTTCTGTTCCCTGCTCTGTCTCTGGTGAATTCTCTTTAACCCACCCCGCAACTCTGGCCTGTACCTCAGTTCTCGTATGCATAAATAAATAAATCTTTAAAAGAAAAAAAAAGTAACATTTGGTTGGTTTAGAGTGATCTCACTGATTTGTAAAGAAGAGGACATATACATATATACCCATATGTATTTGATATGTACTATTTGTATTTTAATGTGACTAAAAGTACAGATACCAAACTGTTAACAGTAATTAATTTGGGGAAATTAATATAACTACAGTATAGGATATCTAGAAATCAAAATTGTGAAAATGCCACATTATCATATACCTTATAATTTAATACGTAGTCCCTACTCTTTTTACACGTGTAGCTATTATCTACTTATAAACAGAGGACACATATTTTTTCAACTTGTTCTCATAAAAAAATATAAGCAGTTTTCCATGTTTTCACATAAACTTCATAATTTTTTGGTTGTATAACATTGCATCAAATAGACTCATCCTCATTTTGTTAAGCAGGCCTTGATTTTAAAGATATCATTTGCTCTATTTTTAAATTACCAGAAAAAGAATACCTCTGAATATTTCTATGCTGATATTTTCAAGTTACTTCTTTAAGGTAAGCTCTGCAACAGAGAAGTACTGGGACACAATTTTAAAATCATATACCTCTTTCTATGCAGTACCACACTTACAAGATTCAATACCATTTGTTTTTTAAAAAAGAACTTTTTATTTCTTTGATCACTATTGAGATTGAAAGTGTTTTCAGACTTAACAGTTCTAATTTCAGTTTTGTAAATTATCTCTTACATGTTCTATGCTCATTAATTTATTGTGGTTTTACTCTACTTTTGACCAGTGTAATTTAAATAATATTTTAGTACACTTACAGTATTTTCCACAATATGATCTCCAAAACCAGCTATGGGAACCATCTGTTATTTGTATTGCTTTTCTCTCTTAAGCAGTCATTCAGATTGAGAGAGAGAGAGAGAGAGAGAGAGAGAGAGATTCCTCTAAAAGTCAAGAGGCTATTTTAGAATGAAAATATAACTTCTTACAGCCTCATGCAGGGAAAATTTGCTACTTTTTTCCCCTAAAATAAAAAGTTTTGTGATTTTCACTATCTTTTAGGGGTCTTTGATGGACTATATTATTCAAAATGTGTTGACCCACAGGCTCAGATTTTTTTTTTAACATGCTGATAAACAGCTGGTAAACGTGCTAGGATATACACACCCAGCTGTGCAAAAGCTACATTACAAACAAAATAGTTGTTTCTGTTTGAAGTGGTAATGATTATTATATTTTATATCTGACAACATGATGGGGTAAAAAGTTCACAATTCACAAAGCGAATTTTGGAAGGAAATACCAGCACCTTGATTTTATTTTAGATGACAAGCTCAGAGCTGGCTTCTGCTTTGTTTACTGTGCAAAATATGTCTCCAAAAGCAAGGAAGACAAAGATATGAACAATAAAAACACTCAGGGACTTTTATTCTTGCCTCTCCCACTGACTGAATTTGTGACCTAAGATTGTCACCTGACTTGTTGGAACTTGGTTTGTCTCACTTCTCACAGAGGAGGGAAGGCAGAGAAAGTGAATCTAAAGTATATTACAACTATGTCAGTTTTTAAATACTTAATTCTCAGGTTTGTTAGACTGTAAAGTCCTGCAGGGTTGAAATTGCATCTTTCCTATCTACAACAACTAGCACAGTCTCTATCACAGTTGAAAACACCATAAAGATAAATGAATTAATTAAATAAGTAATCAGTCCTGTTTTACTGGTGAGGAAGATGAAGTGTTAAGAGGTTAACTAATCTGAGATCACAATCTAGGGAGTTATAGATCAAACCCAGGACTGTCTGCCTCCAAAGTTAATGTTTTGATGAAAAATGCATAGAAAACATTTTCCAACATTCATTTATTATTTGTATTTTAAAACAAGACTGAGATGAAAGGTAATAGGTATTACTAACTGAGGATATAAGGCCTTTAAGGTTAATAATTTGAGTCCCTGTAATGAATGATTTACAAGTTTCTCATTATGTTCATGTTGACAGAAGAAAGATTAACTTATATAGCACTACACCATGACCAAAAAAGCCCATCTTGAATCTCTCTGGCTGCTTCTACTGAGAAGAGGCCAGATGAGGTAGTATTTGAGAGAGCCTTTTTCAGAATTTGTCTTCTCATGCTTGTGGATCTCAAGGGGATGGAAAAATATGCAAAGCTGAGGAGCCAGTGGAATAAAGATTTCAAGGTTTCACTGACCAGCTTTATAGTTTGCTTTTTGAAAAATAATTTTTTCTCCCTTAATTCAAAAATAATGCAGGACCAATGGAGAGCAGTTACCAATTTCATTTTCAGCCAATTCTCCAAAAAAGCATCAGAAAATCATTTGCTGCAGTTAATAAGATAGCTTCATAAATTGTGAGGCAAAACTTTGGTCATTCCCTAATTTCTGTAAGAAGGAAGAGAGACGAAGCTAAAATCTAAAATTCTGTGACAGACAGCTTTTTTAAAAAGTTCTGATGATGCCTCCCATTAACAGCCTTCCTGCACTTAGAACCTGAGTAGGTTTCTCTTCCGCTGTACTCACTCTGAATTCTGTTGGGGGCGCCTTTCTAAGCCTCAAGAGTCAGCAGAAACCAGGAAATCCCAAATGTTCTTGAGAAGTTGGGCTTCCGTTCCCCGGAGGAATAATTGCTGCTGCTGCCACAC